CTCAACTCTCCCGACGCGAACCGGGACTCGGCATACTATTCCATCACGGATGCTTCAAGCAAACGTTTGTCTTTTCCTTTATTTTTGCAGCCACCAATACCATTTTCTACCGCTTTTAGTTTCGAAGGGCTTCCAATCGCTAACTTGTACGTTTTCTTAGACACATCTGCAGCGTCTTGTGCTGGCCTGAGCCCCGCTGGTCCGTCCTCATCTGCCTCACCACACCCGCTCCGTGCAGCCTCCGCCGGCATGGATAAGACACCGTCTCCGACAGCTGCAGCGCACCTCCTGCCTCAGCCTCTGCTCTCGCCGTCGACAAGCAGCATGAGCGTGGCATCTATCGTCTCGCCTACTACACCGAGCAGCGGCGACCTACGCCGCCTGACCATTGACCGCCCGCAGTCCCTCGAATCGGCACCTAACAGCGCTTCGCTCACCGCCGCCGTCGAGTATGACCACACGTCCCGCCGCGAGAGCGTCGACAGCCGCATCAACCAGGGCATCGGCGACCTGCGCCTCGGCGGCAACTCCCCCTATGCCACCCATAACCACTCCACCACGTCCGTCCATACCAACCACAACAGCTTCCAGGCCCAGCAACGCCAGCCGCGCACCGGGCTCGACAGCCTCTCTGTGCACCGCATCTCCAATGGCTACCAGCCGAGCGCGGAGCGCAACCCGGACATCCAGAACAAAACTGTGCGCACGGCGCCCGCCATCACAGGACCGGCCATCAGCCAAATTGCGCGCGCCGCCGAGCCCACCAAGGGTCAGGCATGGGCGTTCCCCGAAGAGGAGATCCAGCGCCTGCCGTCGGCCGCCAGCCAGTCCTTCATCGATTCGCGCCGCAGCAGTGTCGCGGACTCCCTTGCGAGCAGCCAGTTCACCACCGAATCGCGCCTGCCCAATGGCCAGCGGCGCTTTGACGACCCGGTGTCAAGCCGCCTTGGTCCCCACGATGGTCCCAACGATAACATCGACTACCACCAAAGTCAACGCCTGTCGGGCGCCTCCGGCGAGTATCCGACCACACACCACCACGCCCTGCAGCACAAACAGATTGACGACCTCCAGGCCGAGACGGGAAGCTTGCACGCAGGCTCGCAGCCCTACAGCAGAACGCCCGAGCTCCGCATCAGCCACAAGCTTGCTGAACGGAAGCGTCGTACCGAGATGAAGGAGCTCTTCGAGCAGCTTCGTGACCTGATGCCCCAAGAACGGGGATCCAAGGCGTCCAAGTGGGAAATCCTCACCAAGGCCATCACGGAGCACCAGCGCCTGCAAGAGACTGTCCGCTCCGCCACTCTGCACCAGTCGGCCGTCGCCAACGACATCGCTGCCATGAAAAACGAGATGCACGCCCTGCGCATGGAGAACCAGCAGCTCCGCGCCGATATGGCCGCCATGCAAGCCAACGGTGGTGGTGCCACGAACGGCCAGGCACCGCCGGGCATGTCGGACCACTTTGCCAGAGGCCCCGGCCGCGATAACAACCAGCAACTGCCTCCTCTTCGGTCCCTGAGCAGCGGCCTCCCGCCGCCGACGACTCAGGCGCCACCACCGGAGTCCATGACTGGCGTCCAGTATGACCAATCCAGAGTCAACGGTTTCCGCCCGCAGATTGACCGGTTCTAAGTATCGGACCTCGTGACATTTCTGCGTCGTCCGGCTTCTCTTCCCCAAGGGAACGACAGATTTCCCCTTCGGTTCTTTGCTTTTGTATCACCATTGGCGTTGCGAGTGCTTTTTCACATCAGTCTCTCTTCTTCGGATGGTTTGACTATATAACGTTTATCGTTTCTGTCCGACACCCGTTGCACTTCATCTTCTTTATTGTCTTCTTCTGACCGGTGTGGTTATCTCCATTTCTTTCCGTTTGCTCAACATGGCGTTGACCATTCTTCGATTCATCTACATTCTGTTTGTTCCTATGTCGGTCAGGATGACCGCCTGGATCTATTTTTCTTCCTGTCCATTCATAAGTACCCCTTCTGGCGTGTCTTGTGTCTCTTGACTAGCACTCAATTACCGATTTTCATATCGACCTTTCCATTGTATGTGTCACTTTTTTCTGTTCTTATTCTCTCATATTCCTGCGGAGTTCCTTCTTGTCTTTTATTTCGTTTTCTACGGAACACCGCATTTATTTCATTATGTACCTTGTGACAGCCCACCGGCGCGCATGTTGTATTGCTGTATATCTGAGGGATGGAAAGGGAACGGATTTCCCGGTTTCGGGCTGGACTCTTCCCTTGGGAAGAAGAAAACAAAAAAGATACCACGCGATTTATGCAAATGAAGCCTATCTTATAAAAATTATCGAAAAGGTCTTACTCATCATGCTGTATTAACATGTGATTTCAAGTTTGTGATGAAACCGCAATTTGGCAAGCTGTGAAATCGACAAGACAGACATACTTGTGCCTGCTGCCATCAGTCAATGTCGAATCAAAGCGTCTTGGAAATGCTCTTCTCAATGTCAGTAAAAGACGGACGACGTGCCTTCGGCGTTGAAAAAGGAGCAATGTAGACTGAGGTCGTGGGCGGCCTTAGCGTTGCCATTACTGCTATTTTTACGCCCGCTACGTTCTCGGCTACGTAGCTTCAGAGGTCCTACTCCACCCACCACACATCACAGGTCAGCTTCATACTTAATCGACTTTCGACGCGACTTCATCTATTACCACCCACGTCCGCGTTCTACCCAACCCCCTCGGCTCGGGAGCATTGCTACTGTATTCGGAAACCGTCACTTGTTTTCTCATCAACTCTTATCGTTTCGATTTCCTCGGTCGCAGCCGCTGCCCACCTTTCCCGCATGGACCACGCCTTGACGACTGACAGAAGATATTGACGAACCACTACCCCCGAGAATGCGGCCGCTTGTCCTGCCCCGGAAAGATTTGCGTGTCTCTTTTGCGCTGGCGGTCTAGAATTGATATCCCGAAACACCTTTTCCTGCGTTCCCCGGGGCCTTTCCCCCCCTCGACTCGCCTCCCCTTTCCTCCATATGCTCTTCCGCCCGCGGCTGCTGCGCCATCGGTCGCGCAAATACCAGCGGCCTGTCCTCTGGACGCTGCTGGCACTCTTCGTTCTAGATGCCTGGCGCATTCTGCGGAGCCGGGCACCGACAATACGGTCGTCCTTGACCGCAGACACCTCACAAGGCATCACATCCGGAACGGAAATCACCAAAAAGCCGTCCGTGTTTATAGTGTCCGTTCACCGCAACACGGAGCCCATCTTGCGATCGGCGTGGATCGAGAACCTTGTCCGGCTGGTCGACCACCTCGGCCGCGACAATGTCTACGTGTCGGCCGTCGAGTCCGGGTCCCAAGACGACACCAAGGACGCGCTGATGGAACTCAAGGCCCAGCTGGTCGCCCGCGGCGTCGCCCACACCATTGAGCTCGGTACCACCGTCTGGGAGCAGCTGGACGAGCTGTATGCATGGCCCGACCCAGACACGCCCGCCGCCGAGCGGCCGGGTTGGATCTGGGACAGCGAGGAGAAGCACTTTGCGCTCCGGCGGATCCCGTACCTAGCGAACGTGCGCAACCAGGCGATGGCGCCGCTGCTGGCCGAGGCGGCCAAAGACAGCAGCGGCGGCGGCGGAGGGCATGGGCAAGGTCGGCGGTTCGACCGCGTGCTCTGGATCAACGACGTGGCGTTTGATACGCAGGACGTCATGACGCTCCTCGACACCCGGGGCGGCCACTACGCAGCGGCTTGTGCCATGGATTTTAAAGAGTACCCCTTGTACTACGACACCTTTGCGCTGCGGGACGCCGACGGCGACAAGGCCGTGTCGCCGCGCTGGCCGTGGTTCCGGTCCAGCGAGGCACGTACCGACGTGCGCGCCGGCCGCCCCGTGCGCGTGCAGTCCTGCTGGAACGGCATGGTCGCCTTTGACGCACAGCCGTTTTACGACACGACCGCCAACACGAACGCCCATGCTCGCGGCCACACACACGCCAATGCGGGCGGCGGCGACACCACCCACACGCCCGTGCCGCTCCGCTTCCGCGGCGTTGACGACAGCCTTGCCGAGTTCCATCTGGAGGGTAGTGAGTGCTGCCTGATCCACGCCGACAACCCGCAGTCGCGCTTTGCCGACGTTCCCTCGTCGAACGCCCGCCACCGCCACAAGGGGGCCGACGCGGACGCAGACGCAGACGCCGGCAAAAACATCGGTGTCTGGCTCAATCCCAACGTCCGCGTGGCGTATAGCCTATCGGTCTACAAGCAGGTGCGGACCGCCGTGTTCCCGGGCCGGTTCGCGGCCGTCCATGGGGCGTGGGCGAATCGGCTGGAGCGCGCGCGGAGCCACGTGCAGTTTGCCCTCGAGGGCCAGACGGTGCTGAACCGGCTGCGGCGGTGGCGGGCAGAGACCCCACCAGGCGCGCCGCTGCGCAACGAGCCTGGTGCGGTCTGCCTGATTAACGAAATGCAGATCATGTGGCAAAACGGGTGGAAGCACTTGTGAGGTAGAAAACAAAAGGAGTTTTAAGGGAATCCGCGTTTGTTTGCTATTTTCTGATTGTTTGCATCGTACTGCGTATATGCATTACATGAAATTCTTCTTTTTTATTCGAATATGTATACTATCCAAAAACGTGACGCGGGTATCCTGTCGCGCGAGGGTTAAGGTTGCAAAGCAAAGGATGCCAAAAGAAAAGCCGCCGCGGCCGCCACCCCATCTAGAGCATGACAAGATGATTAATACAGACAAACAAAAAGAGAAGAAAAAGGATAAACCCGTCTAAACGCCAGTGTCCCTCCCCGTGTAAAATGATATATGCACAGGATGATGCAAGGGAAAAAAAAGGGGGGGCACAGATACAGTGCGTATGCAACGTAATATACAGCTGAAAGAAGGAAGAGCAGGATACACCGCGACCGGCGAAACGTCGTGTGCAAGCTGAGCCCAAGACCAAGCCGGGTCAACAAAGTCGGCACCCTGGATGGTACCGTACCTATCGTATCACCGACGTCGCAGTTTACTTGTTGTGCCAGAGCAATGTCCGTAGGCTGTCCCAGTGGTCGCTCTGTACGTAAATGTAACTCATGCTGTTGCGCAGGCTGGACTGGATCTCGGCGTCGTGGTAGCGGAAGAGGTGCATCACCATAGCCCAGCTGCCGGCAGCAAAGGCGGGCCATGCATAGTAGCTGATGGTTTGCGACAGCGGCGGCTGCGACACCAGCGGCAGGCCGACGCCCGGCTTGACCGCGAGCTTCGCCAGGGCCAGGACCACGCGCGCAAACACGTAGATGACAATCTGCATGTTGATGGAGCTGATCTTACCAGACCGCTTGGACCGGCCGCCGAAGACAATGTAGCCGCCGAGCAGACCGCCGATGAAGCTGTCGTATGTGCCTGGGAGAATGTTAGCCTACGATCGTTTTGTCGTTCTGGTCTAGTAAACGGCCCAACCGCCGCAACAGAGAAACGCACCCTCCTTGCCGTCTGCGAGGTACTTTAATACCATGCAAGTCGTCTTGTATATAATAGCAAAGCGAGCCAGGTTGCTGGCATGGTGTTTTGTGGCACGGAGCACGAGGGAGACCTTTTCGCGCACACTAAAAAGGGTAAGGCTGTTAGTTGGGGAGGCCGAGGGATAGACAAAGGGGGTCCAATCGGGTGAAAGAAGGGTGTGCGTGAAGACGTGAGGAAACGAAAAGAGACGAGGAGACCAAGATGTGGACGTACGTTCCGGACCGGAAAAGGAAGACCATCCTAAAGAAAGAAGCATAACTGTTAGCAGAGGCGTTTTTGTTTTCCGACAACCATGCGGCATACGGTCATCGTTCCGGGCGAACGGCGACAATGCAGGCGTGGTCCGCTGAGCATCAAGGGGATAAAACGGAGAGAGCTCGTACACAAGCGCATGCGGGAAGCGCACTTTGGCGCCGTAGACTGCGCCATTGCGCGCGCCCTTGACGATGGCGAGGAGGTCGTGGTACTTGGGGTCGAGCACAATCTGCTCGGCGACGGCCTGGACAACAACGAAGCAACACCGTTAGCAATGTGCGTGAGCGGGTCGCAGGTCACAGCCTCGGCCATTCAAAGCCGCTCTGGTTGCCTACGCCACAAAATGGACGGTTGGCTTCCTACCTTGAGGCCGTCGAGTGTGCTGGCAAGCTGCGATGGGACAGACATAACGAGGGGTGACGAAGAGACGAAGGAGTAGATGGAACCGTCGGCTGCAGTTGCGCGGCGATCGATGCGCAACCAAAAAGCTCGGCAAAAGTGAAATGCGACGAGAAGGACGAGGCAGGCAAATTGTCGTGATGGCAGGGAGAAAGGAGAGCGGTCGGATCAAGAGGAATTCGATGTAAGTGTTTCTGTTAGGATGTGTGTTTGTCGCCCATTTGCCCACAAAAAGGAATATGACAAAACGGTTACGACAGCGTTGGTACAAAAGAGTGAGCGACAGGCAAAAGGCAAGAAAAGAAGCGATGACGGCAATGTGTTCGGCTGCATTGAAGCTCGGCTTGTGACTTTCCCTTACGCCTACTGACTACACTCTCCAGGCGACTATGCCCAGAACAGGTTGGCTGGGCGCATGCTGGAGTGGATAGGGAAGGAGCGAAAAGTGGAGCAGTTTGGGATGCTCTGGCAGCATGTCCAGGTGCTTCCCTGCCGTATTTGGTGTGCTTTCCCCGCGTGCAGCGGACTCCAGGGACGAATTAGGCGGGTAAGTTGCCCCCCGCGATTCATTATCCTAGCATGTGAAAGCGCAGCGTTTCGTACGGCAAGAGCGAACTGCGAGTGAAAACCGCCAGTCATCCACAAGTGGAGCACAGCACAGTCAAATCGCTGAGAACAGCCTTTAGACAAAGGAAGATGTGTAGACAAAGCGACTACCCTCTGGCCTTGGTAAAAGACGTAAGCAACAAGACCGACCAAAAAGAAACGGTCATTGGAAAGACAGTCTTTATTGCAGCGCAAAAGCACTCTGCATTGCTGTCTTGAAAGGCGTTCGTTTCGCTTGCAATGCTGGCCTGCATTCCGGTTCTTTCTTCTAGAAGCAATCACATGCAATTATGTCGCATAAGATTGTCGTTCGCGCTTTCCCTTGAACGCTTCCTGTCCTATCGATTTGGCAGGTCTGCCCCTCGCCGCCGAAACGTGACGGGCAGGAGCGATAGGCACAACGTCATTTGGTCATCTTGGAAGTCCAACTTAGATAGCCTTAGAAAAGGGGCTTGTGCAAAAGGGAAGTTACGACCGTTGGACGCGCTTGACGATCACATCCATCACTTCAAAATAAAAACATAAGCCAAAAAGCCCCATCTCGCCTCGCGATCAATCACACCTGTACAAAGGACTCTCAGTTCCAAGTGTCCAGACAATGCAGAGTACGAGAACTTGACCATGTTTCGGCAACTGCAATCAGACACGGCGGTGATGGTCCGGTCAGAGTCTTGCTTTACGATGAGAACAATGGATGGCCAAACAAGCAGGCTGCGAGGCCGTAGGCACGGTTCTTCAGCGACCGCCAACTTCTTTAAGATCTGAAGAGCTGCCGGATCGTGCGGACCAATCTCTTCGTTTGAGAGGATGCAACCGTCATAAGCGTCTACCATATCCAGAATCCTTCCGCGGCACAACAGGGCTGCACAGCCTTCTTCAGATTGTCGACATTCTGCCAGATACAGGTAGACGGCGAAGTGCATTGTAAGTAATTGTGCGGTCGGGTTATGGACGAGGCTGAATTATTAGGCCAGCCATACAACACATCGAGAAATGGTCACCTGGATTTGCTGCGTGTATTGCGGTACAGATTAATACGGGGTCACTGAGAAGGCAGAGTATGGCTAACCGCCAAAAAAAAGCACAGGCAACTATTTCCACGCTATCTGATAGCATATGGTTGGCCAGGCTCATGGCACCGCGTCTTGGCTCTCTTCGAGGGCTCGGGAGCACTACTGGCTCCTCCCGCGCACCCTGGAGTATTTGCGGAAAACAAGGCTCAGACAGCCGTGCACGACCAATACTCCCGCTCTTCAACTCCGCGCATCTGGCACCAGTCGAAACAATGGCGCTCATGCTCGAGTCGGCACGAAACCAGAAAGCAAGTGCATACTTGGAGTGGGCACTTTGAACAAAACCAGACTCTTTTTCACTCCGCCTAGCAAAACGCCACAAGCCCGAGAGGCAGAGCAAAATGGGATGGAGAGGGTCTAGATTCACCTCTCACGGCTGTCTGTGACATTGTGGCGCCCGTCGTGGAGATGGGCAATGTCTGCAGCCGCCATTCCGCATTTTCTTCAAGAAGCGCATCTTGGAGTCAGTTTCTCTTACGTACAGACTCCTTGCCACTCCGTACGTCCACGACATTTTGCTTCAGAAGATTGATAAGGAGGTATTTACAGTGAGAAATGCGGAGCAATGCTGTCTACGACTACGACGTCCAGCTCTCCTGTTAAGTTACCAGTGCATTTTGCAGGCTGCCTCTGTTCCCCCCAACCGCTTCCCAATATGTACATTCGTACCCACTCACCCCTTCCTTTCCTCTCAACCCATGTGGCCTACCCCCTCTTTTTGAACCCTTGTTGCTATGCAAGGCCTCTGCGAACTCTCTGGCCCGCTGCGGCGTGAGTGCGCGGGAGCAGGCAGTGAGGCCTACGACAGGTCAGATTGGGGGGGGGACCGGTTGTCAGCCAATAGTCTACCAATATCAATAGTTCCGTTTGGAGAAGAACTTGAGGCTGAAGGTCAGGGAGAGAGGCAGTCTAAAACGAAGGACCAAGTTACGGGGCTGCCCCTTTCGATTCTATTTACAACGGGATCGTCCCATCGCCGGCCTGTTCTTCTTTCTCCATAATTTACACTTTCATCTTTCCGTCTAGTGCCCGCTGCCAAGGACGACATCGTGGACTCTTGTGCATCGCATTCTCCAGCATACCTATCGCGTGACGACGTGTTGGTTATTGCTACCAGTTTGCTTGTCGCCACTCTCAGTCTTCTTTTCTTGGCTTAAACCTCGACTCTGTCTGTCTTTTACTTCTGCCGAGGCCACATCGCGCCAATTTCACGTTTCACGCGAGCAGTTCTCCACAGATAAGGACCGGTCATATTAACGACGGTCTTCCCCTGTGATCCCGGCGTATATTGTGCGAGCTACCCTACAGTTTCCACCTCCGAACCACGACATTTCAGACCTTGGTGTTGCAGGACAATGGCATCTGCAGCCCAGCCTCCGCCATGAGACTCCAAGCCCTGCAACCGCCAACATGGCCTGTGCATCTCTGTGCGGTCCTCGGTTTGTTTGTGCACAGGTCGGCCGCTGGCATGAACTTTACCGGCAAAACTCTCACAGACATATTTTGGCAGCTTGAATATGTAAACACACCACCAAATGGCAACCCGCTGCTGGGCGGACAAAACTTCACAACATGTTGCCTGAAGGCCATCAACGAAGCCATTGAGATCGACCCCAACGGCGAACTGCAATTTGTCAGTCAGTTTGAAAACTGGATCGTCTTCGACGAGGGCGACGAGCAGCCCTTGGACTTGCTGGTCAATTATTCGCTGCGCGGTCAGTTTCCCTGCACGGCCGTCTACAATGGCGATGCGCGTGGTGCACCCGTTGTCCAAGTCAACTACACCTGGCTCGCGGAGACCTGTCCGGGCTGGGAGATTAGCAGTAAGGACAACTTGAATGCCTGGCTGCAACCGCTGTCGGGCTTTCTCGTCCCGGCGGTCATCTTTTGCCTGTCCGTGCCTCGCCGCCGCAAGCTGGAGGTGCCGCGCTTCCTCTTCTCGCCCGACCAGGGCGGCATCAAGAGCTATCTCCTCGCCCCCTTAGGCGCCACTCTCGCGCTGGTCATGGTCTCACTCGACACGCTGGTCTGGCTGTGTATCTGTTTCGGTTTTGCTGGGCCCATGATTCTGAGCGGATTGTATGAAGCCATGCTCGACAACTCCGTGCTCGAGTACCTGCGGTTGAAAGTTGACGAAAGCCGCCTCACCCTCGACATGCGGTGCCGCTGCCTCATGGTGATCCTCATCGGCAACCTCGACCTTGTCTGGAACACAGAAGACCCGGACGGAAATGGGGGCTATGTCGACGGCGGGACCCATGGTGGCAGCTACATTAGCGATGCCGCAGACGATGGCGACGCAGAGGACGAGCACCTCCACTATACTGGGCGTGGGAGTGCGGTTGGCAGTTTTGACGACCGTCCTCCACGTGGAAACTCGGCCGAGATACCGTTGATGCCTCTTCATGGAAGCGGTGCCTACCAATCCATCCCAAGCGGCGAACAATCATCACCGTCACCTGCCGGCGCACCACTCTACGGACGGTACGACCAACCTGGGGTGCCCGTTCCAGATGCGCCGTATGCTCCGTACTCTTCTTCTTACCCGTATCCACCATACGCGTCTGGTCCATCCGGCACCAATGGCTCTCCATCTCCCTCTGGTGCCTCCCTGTCACCAGGCCGTCCGGCCCCAGCACTTCCAGCTTCTTCGAATGCACCCGCAGTTGCCATTGCTCCGATGCCGTCCGCGGTCCAGCAGGTCAATCCCACAGAAAGTGCCGCTTCCCACAGCTCCGCTCTCCCTACAGGTCAGGGCATTTGGCAACAACCAAACAATAGTGGCAGCCAAAGTCGTCTGGATGCCAACGGAGCTGACCAAAGCACAGCCATTGGTGCAGCACAAGTCGTTGTACCACCGCCTCCGCCCCCAATATCGCGCACGGCGGAGAACGAAGACGTATTACTTGCTGACGAGAGCCACGGAGGCTCTATAATTCCAGGTCTTTTTATTTCACCAGCGTCGGCCGGCCCCGACCCTGGGCCCGTACCAGACTTTTCGGGCCAACAGCAGTATCAATATCAACAGCCGCAGCACCAATCGTACATGGGTGCTGTGCCTGGCTTTCCTCCAGATCATGTCGGGCCAAACCAGCCTGTGGCCTATGGCGTTCCGTCTGGTGCAGCGTCCCCTGGTGCCCCATCAACACCAGTCCAACATCTCTCTGCACCGGCACAAGGCACCGTCGGCACGCCGTTTGCCAGCTCGGGCTTTGTTGCCGCCGGTGTGGTTGCGGCAGGTGTCGGTGTCGGTGTCAGTCACGATGCCAACCGCCGGCTGCTCGTGAATCACCGAAACGGCGGTCCTCTCGCGTCACCATGGCAGCACATGGAGGAATTCCTGTACTCTCTTCGCATATACAACGACGACTTCCCGACGCGCCAGCACTCACCGCGCCAGTATGCCAAGCACAGTGACTGTCCAGACGGCATCAACTGCCACAACGATCTGCACAACGAGCCGCCGATTCCCCGCACGGCCGAAACGGAGCGGCTGATCCACCAAGTGAAAACACGGCTCAAAACCATGTTGCACTGTCAATACTCGTTTGGATCGGTGATTGGTGCCCCGGTTGTCTTCTTCCTTGGCGGCTTTATTTTTGCCCTGCTCCAGAGCTTAGATGCGCTGGGTGATGAGGACATTGCCGAGGGGCTGGCCTTTGGCCAATGGTACATGACGATCCCGCACATTGCCATTATTTCGGGTCTGTTGTTGGCGGGCAACAACCCCAACATTCTGGAAGGCGTCCTGGCTGTTGAGCGCAAGTACCACCAGGACAACATCACCATTTTTGGTCTAACGTACGGACTGGCCTACCCGTCTTGCTACAAGGTCGCTTCGCTGTGGGACCGCGGCTACAACAAGAAGCAGTGGCTCAACACGCTCATTGCTACCTACCTTATGCGCTCCAATGCCGTCTACAGTGGCAACGAAGACTATGACAAGGACATTGTTGATCTGAAAAAGAAGACTACCCTCTCCCTGTCGGATTGGTCGTTCCTCCTGGCCCTAACATTGATGCTGCTGGGACTTCCCTATATCCTCGCCTTCCTCACGGCCTACTTTACACCCGAAATCGGGTTGTCGTGTCGATCCCTCACCTTTACCATCTACATCCTTGTTCAAATATCACGTACGTCTCTCCCAGCTGCCCAGCTGCCCAGATGTGCTTTTGTGTTAATGGACGCTACTAACAAAAAACAACAGAAATCATCCTCTGGCTATGGGCGTATGCCGGACCCCTTTCTGTCTTCAACGTCGAAAAGCCGGGCTTTTTTTCCATGGGTGGCTGGCTGGACAAGCGTGGTTTCTATGAGCCCTATTCGGTGCGTTGGCTGGTGGACCGCGGCCAGGTGGTGCCTCGGAACCCATTCAAGCTGCTGCGTCTCGTGTGGAGCGATCCGGGCCGACTCGTCAACTGGCGCTTCATTTGGAACGCTGTATATTACACCAGCCAGTGGCTTTTGGGCTTTATTGGCATCACGGCAGCAATCGGTGGCACTGCCATGCAGCTTATGGGCGTCTACTCGGCCGACATTTGCTACGTCACGACGGCCTACTGGTTCGCACCGCTCGAGGAGAGGCCGGCGTCCATCATTTCCGTCAATTCGGCCCTTATGATCCGGGAGTCTGAGCGTGCGTTGTCTCTTTCTTGTCACCCTTATGAGAAAATGCCTCCTTGCTAACACACTTTCAGTCATGTGGAAGCCATGTGCCATCACGGCCATTGTTTTCATGAGCGTCGTCAGTTTCGTCGGATGGTGGTACCAGCGCCGGATGCGTGACCTTTTCCAAGACCGTATGTTTCCATACTACTTTACATTCCGTCTCGTTATTATTTTTATTGGTTTACAAAAAATGACATCTGACACAAAACCAAGAGGTCCGCAGGATCGACCAGAACGAGCGTCGTGATACCCGCGCGTCCCGTCCCGACCGTGGCCGCGTCCGACCTCGTGTCACGTCCGGTGCGCCCCTGACAATCCGAACATTGACGCCATCGATCCCCTCGGCTATGCCAGTCAGTGCACCCCGAGACATGGCCGTTGCATCGGCCGTGACAACCGGCTACGGCGGTTACGGCCATTCGTATGGGCCACTCCGCGCCCAGAATAGTGTGGCCATGATGTCTGGTGCCCAGCCACCCCCCACCTCAGCGGTAATGGCAGGAGCGCCATCGGCAACATCATCTGCACAGGGCGGTGGAGTCCGGCCCAGATCGACGGCAACAGGATCCGGGACAAGAAGCATGGGCGCTCGAACACCGTCTCCAGTTGGGCCCGGTAGTATTGGTAACGTGCCGGACGGTGGCAGTAGTCAATCCACGGCCACCCCATCTGCCACAGATTCCTTCTCTGGTCCCGCTGGGGCATCTGGCCCAAATAGCAGTCTTGATGCTGCCGCGGCCGGTCCTTCACGGAGGACTCCCTACCGGAGAACACCCTCACCAAACGAGCCTCTGGCAGAGGCGGACGAGCCTCCTTTTTAAAGCAGTTTTGTAGAATATTTTGTACCACTTGCCGTATAAATACCACAAACCGTATAATTGTAACTGAAACTTGTCGTGATTCTATCATTCGTACTTCTAATGAAAAGACAATGTCTGTGAGACGGTTATATACTTACATAATCAAGTGGAGCTCTGTGCCCGAATTTGGGCTAGCGCCTCAGGAAGAGCTCGTCCTGTCTGTGAGCGGCTTGTGGAGTGAGCTAATTCGTACTGGCCATTGAAATTTTCGCTTTTTGCCGTGTAAGTTTTTTAAGGGCGCTGTTTTTTTACCTCCTTTTTGCTAGCCGTGTTCCCAACCACGCGATCTGTTCCATTTCCATCACAACATCGTTTTATCGTCCACGTCTTTTTTTTCTCACGCTCGATATACCTGTTTGCACCCTTTTCAGCATCTTCGGCTCGACTTTACTTGACCTCCGTCGCTTCTTTTCTTCTTTTTTTCTCACACCCCCCCTAAATCGGCACAATGTAAGACTTTGGATCCTCCCAATAACCTCTTCGTCCTGAGATGCAATCGCCGAGCAACTGAGACTAATCTATCTTCTTCCCTTGCTAGGCAGTCCGTTCGCCGCGCTGTTCTGCGGTCCGCCGCCTCCGCCTCGGCCCAGGTCGTGCGCTCCACGTCGACCTCCTCCACTCCCCTTGTCCGCTCCGTCGCCGCCAAGGCTGTGCGCATGCCCGTTAACAACCTGGCCCTGGCCGCCCGCTACTTCTCCCAGACTGCCCGCGTCGCCGAAGAGGCTGAGCAGCTGACAAGCGATTCGGTCCCGGCTACGGCTAGTGTGGGCGAGACCAACGTCGAAGCCCAGGATCCGACCCCCTACGGCATCTTCATCCGCAACGTTGTTTTTGACGCCAGCGACGCCAACCTGCGGGAGGCCTTTGAGCACTACGGCCCCATCAACTCCACCTTTATTGCCCGCGATCCCCGCGGCATGAGCAAGGGCTTCGGCTTTGTCTACTTCGAGACCGCCGAAGCCCAGACCAAGGCCCTCGAGGAGGCCAACGGCTCGTTCTGGCACGGCCGCCGCCTCAGCGTCCAGCCGCGCTTCAAGCGCCAGCCGCGCCAGGCCGACCCCAACCGGCCCCCGCGCGCCGACGACCGGGCCCCGCGCGAACCCTCCAACTGCCTCTACATTGGCAACCTGCCCTACGAGACCACCGACGCCGACCTGACTGTCACCTTCCGCGAGGTCGACGGCCTCCAGGCCGTGCGCGTCGCCGTCGACCGCGCCACTGGCTGGCCGCGCGGCTTCGCCCACGCCGATTTCGACTCGATCGAGAGCGCCAAGGCCGCCTTCGAGTACCTCAAGGACAAGCAGGTCGGCAGCCGGACGCTGCGCATCGACTATGCCTCGCCGACCAAGTACTTCGCAAAGAGGAACAGCAGCGAGGACCAGGAGGGGGGCGTTTCGGAAGCGACCAACTAGGAGAGTGAAGGGAACGAGAACGTAGCGCAAAACGGGCGCGTGTCTTGCACGTTGATGGATATGATACACAGAAAAGGGGGCCATGGAGCAAGATCACGAACGTGGGGAAGAAGGGGTGGAAATGAAATCCGACTAGGTCTCTTACTTTCGCCACAAGGGGAAGGGGAGTGCTATGGGGGCCAGATATGATATGACACAGGCTTGGACACCACAGAAAGGGAACTCGTCACTCCCCGAGGATGGATAAAATTCATTGGTGCGGCGGCGGGCGGTGTTGACTCGCTTATGCCTGGAGAAGGCGCAGACGTATTTTTTACATGTCCTGCCTCTTTTCGTTTTGTCTTGTATTGCCAATTCCCACGTAAAAGACAGATGAGCGCGCTCAGCGCAGTGTATATTAGTTTATAGCAAAACAAAGTGAAATGACATCTCTCTCTACTATTTTTAATCTAAAGCAGGCGGACTTTGGTACCGCAGTTGAAACGTGTTTGGTATTTGCGAATGCGATGCTAGCATCTCTGTGTGCATATGGTGTCTCGAGACTTTCTGAAATCTCTCCCCGAACCTAAGACCTGTCGTCATAGTCGACCCGTGCTGCTTTTTGTCTTCTATTTTCTTTTGTCTATATTTTAAATATAATTCCAATAAACAATCATGCGTGTTAACCCAGACTCCGTCCAATTGACATGGTATTTGTAATGTATTTCCACCCGACGTCGGTTTTACTCCTTCTTGGCCGTGGCCCGGCTGTTCGCGGCGAGGCGCTGTTTGTCTTGTCTTAGCACAGAGCATTTCATGAATTGGGGGGAAAGGTAAGATAAAACATACCACAAGATTCCGCAAAAGAACAGCAATCGTCACCTTGCCGACCGACGGCACGTAGATGGACGCCTTCTCCTTGACGGCGGGACCATCAAAGTTGCGGAACGACGAAAAGTTGATGCACACGGCACCGTCGCGCAGCAGCTCCGTCGGCACCTTGAAGCCCTCGGCCGGCACGCCACCAATGACAACGTCCGACAGCGGCAGGCACTGCTCCAGACCAAACTCGGCGCCCTTGTCCAGCACCTGATGGCGCGGCTGGCGGATGCCCTTGCCGCGCGTAAACACCTGTGTGCCCGTCAGGTCCACCGAGTAGACCGTGGCGCCGTCGTTGGCGAGCAGCGCCGCCAGCGGGCGCCCGTTGACCTCGGAGCGGTTGATCACGGTAATGGTCTTGCCATAGAGGCGGTTGCCGTAGGGGATGACAGTGTTGTAGACGTGCAGGTGCTCCAGGATCTTGACGACGGCCAGCGGCGTGCAGGGCAGGATGGACTTGAGCTGGTTGGCGGGCGCGTCCAGGAAACGGATGTTGTGGTACATGTTGGACAGGTAGCGGTGGCAGAGGCCCTCGACGTCCTTCTCGAGCGAGACCGTCTCCTGGATGTAGCGGTCGTGCGTCGGGTTGCCCGGGAAGATGGGGTAGTAGACAATGATGCCGTCGACGGCGGCGTCGGAGTTGGCGGCGATGATGGCCTCCTCGAGGGCATCCTTGTCGACGCGGTGCAGCTCAAAGGCGAAGCCACTTCAAAAGGTTAGAGTATACAAACATAAAACAAAAACAGTATACAGTACAACAAAACATGATCCCTGACTCACTTCTCCTGGCACGTCTTCTGCGACCACTCGGCGTACTTGACGGCAGCCGGGTCGTCGTTAGCCAAAAATGCAGCCAGGCACAGCTGCCGGTCAATGCCATTCTCCTTCAGGAACGTCTCGCGGGTGTCCTGCACCTCGGTCAAGAGGTTCTTGGCGATGCTGTCGGCAAGGATGACCTTGCAGGTCTTTGGGACGTCGGCCATTGTGACGGTCGGGAGGACGTGGGTATCGAGCTGTTGTAAGTTGTTCGGTTAGCACACAGTATTGCCAATTGAGCAATTGGGTATGCAGCCAGCCAGGAAAGACGGCTGTACGGTGTCGTGCAAGCCATACCGCTCACATGCAAAACGTGAAGCTTTTTGGAGTCGGAATTGGAGAGAATTTGCAGAGTCGGGACGATGACAGCGACGAAACGGTTTTGCGACAGAAAGTCTATAGCGGCAGTCTAGCCAGCGGCGACGGCGACAATGGCGGCAGCAACAGAAGCGAGAAAGGCGAGAAAGGCGGGTTCAGAGTCCGAGAGCATGCCGAACGCATTGTATATCTCGTCGTCTTGTTCCCTTTCGTTTTCCTACAACAGCGGGAAGAAAGAGGCATTGAGTCTACAGGGCGCCCAGAAAAAAAAATTAATAACGACGCGGGACAAATAGGCCTAAAATTTTACGCCTCCAGTAGTGCCTTCCCGTCTGAGCCCGCGCCAGCCTTGGCCGCACCTTCCTCGCTTCACTTTGCGCCGCCAAGATAGTGTGGTCAACAACAATGAGCAAGAATGACCGTCTGCCGGGGCCCCGACTACGGAGTTTGTAGCGGGTTGCACCTGCCAGTTTTTTTCTCCGGCTGCTTTCAAAGCTTTTGCTGCCCCTCCCCCCACTGGTCTTATCGTCTATCAGACATCAATAAGGTACCATTCGTGTGTGGTCACCGCTAAAAGGTACATTGATAGAATTCCCAGCGAACCCCGGCCCTGTGATTGTCAATATGCAAAATCTCGTCATCTCATAAGCAAAGGCTACGACCTCGCCGCACACGCTTGACTGCCCAGAATATCACGCGAGCAGCTGCGTCCACAGCGTCTTGGGACTGGAAGAATCACAAAGGGACTGCATTCGATCTCGGCACCGTCACGCTCGCCCAACACCGATTCCCTGTCTCTCCGTCACAATGGCCGACTTCGCCTCGCTGGCCACCAGCTACGTGCTGGCCGATGCGGAGGACGAGCAGCAGCGGCTGGCCGGCCAAGCCGCTGAAGGTGAGTGATTGGTGTACGAGAGGGCTTTTTTAAGAATTAATTGCTGACGTGTGGCCAGCAATCAAGAGCGCACCGCGCAAGAGCGCCGCCGTCCTCGGCTGGGCGCAGTCCATCAACCAGTGGATGCCGAATGGTGATAATGACGCCGACAGCGATGTGATTGTGCGTGCCAAGGGTAGGTGGCATACAGAACTATCCTCTGGCTTCCGTTGAGTATAGATGCTGACGTTGTACAGCTCTCGGTTTCCTTGCCTCCACATTGGAGGTTCTGGATAAGGACGTCCTTCGTGTCGAACAGGGTACGTTTGTGGAGGTTCCATGCGTCTGTTTCATACTTGCCTTTTATTGTCATTATACTCTTCTGACGCGCCGTCCTTCCTCTAGTCGAACACCTCATTGCATTCTTTGGTGCCTTGTTTGCCATTGACCGCAAGGCCGGTGTCCTCGACGCCTCGACGGCCCTGCGCTGCCTCTGCACAATGACGCAGTTTCGGCCGCCAATGGCCAACGCCGTTCTGTCGCACCTCAACAAGCTCGGCGAGGACTTCCGTTTACAGGTGCCGGCAACACGCCGTGCCGTCTACGACCTGATCGCACTCCTGGTGCGCAACGATGCCGCTCTCAAGAGCCTCAGCGAAACCAACGCCGCCAGCGGCCAGTTTCTCATCGACCTCTTGCAGCTGTGCCGCCATGAGCGTGACCCGGACAATCTGCTGCGGTGGTTTGCCATCCTGCGGCATGTGCTTGATCACTACGGCCCGCCGGCTCTGGCACCCAATGTTGTCGAGGAGGTGTTCAAGGTTGCGTCAGACTACTTCCCCATCTCGATGCGTTCGTCCGCCACAGCCGCCGGCACGACTGTCGACGACCTCAAGACAGCCCTGCGCGGTGTATTTGCAGCCAGCTCGCTTGCATCGACGCCCGTTTTTGATTTTCTGCTCCAGAAGATGGACCAGGGCGACGCCCTGACGGTCTCTGTGAAGGTGGACATCCTCAGCACAATCCATGCCTGTATTGCGGCGTTTCCGAACCCGGCGCAGACGGTGGTGCCGCACACAAGCCGCATCTGGAACTCGCTCAAGTACGAGGTGCGTCATGGCGACGTTCCCGAGACGATCGACGGCACGCTGCAAGTGATCCAAGCCATCTCCACGAGGCTATGCCGCGGCCGCAGCAGCGTCGGTGGTAAGGCTCCTGCGGAGGATGCCGCATTTTTGAAAGACTTTGTCGACCTAGTCCTTGCCGACTGCATCAGCGACCTGTCTAACTCGACGTTTACCACGCCCGCTGGCCGCTTGCTCACCAGCGCCATGCTGGGGGGCTTGGGCGCCTACAACCTGATGATCAGTTCCGTCATCGGCACAGTGAAGAAGGACCTTCAGCAAGCACAGGCCGCAAATCATACACGGGACTTGGTCGGTGTTCTCAATCTCGTCCTGCGGACACGCCACGCTCTCGTAGTCGCTGCTGACGCCGAGGCCCCGACGACTGCTGCCTCCCCCACAGCAACAGAGACTGAGTTCCACACCCACGACGATGCCCTTCTCGGTCTGCTGGAAAGCGTCTATCTGCGCCTGTGGAACAACACTCTCAAGGACACAGCGGCAGAACCAACATCACAGGACCCCGTTGTCTTGACCGAAGTGATTCGCGGCCTGGCTGCTCTGATTGCCCAGCGCGGTCCTCGCCCTTCATCACCTTCGTCTTCTTCTACTCCCTCCTCGTCTGCCACGGCATCCCGGCCACTGCTGTGCACGCACACACAGTGTGAGCGCATTTTCGAAGCGCTCGCGCCGCGGATTCTGGTCCCCTACTCTTCCGCCTCGCAGTCGGGCGCCGCCGACGAGGGCCTGTCGCAGACCGAGTTCCTCACCATCGCCCATGAGGCCATGACGGCGCTCCAGACAGCAACTGCCGTGTACCCTGAAGGCTTTACGTTCCTCGTCGAGCGGACCGTGTCATCCATCGCCGGCAGCCCCAGCGGCCCGATTGCCTCCTACTCGCTCATTGCCCTCTCCTCTTCGGCCGAGTCACTCTCGTCTCTGCGTGACACTCTCTCCCGCGTTGCATATATTGGCTGCTCGACCATACCGTCTGCTGCTGAAGGCCTCGAGAGGAGCGGCAAGGCGCTCTTCCACTTTTTGACGCTGACACAGGCGCTCTTCACGACCCTGGAGCGTCTTTTGGATGCCAAGGCGTCTTTCCAGGCGACCAACGCTGTTCTGTCCGGCGTCTACGGCGCCGCCCTGAATCTGCGCGACGCCTTCTCGAAGCGCGGTGTCGGTCCCGAAAAGGCAAAGCAGCCACCAATCGCCTCGTCTGCTGGGCAGACAACACAATCTACGACAGAAACTGAGACGCTGCAGAAGCAGTTCCAGGCATACGTCAACGAGGCGACGTCCATCGTACGCCGTTTGTACCTGAGGGCAACGGCTGTCGGCACGGACCAGCGGCTCAGCTTGAGCACCGACTTTGAGCATTCAGTCGCCTCGTCGCTTACCCTCGACGACCAGGACGAGTACCTGCACCAGTTGGCTGCGTTTGCGACGTTTGTTGTCCGCGACCTGAGTGAAGAGCAGCAGAAGGAAGCAAAGCTGCATGAGGCTGCCTTTACTCTCTTCCAGTCCGACTGCAAAGGTCAACATTCGTTCTTCCACGAGGCACAAGGCGCACGAGCCGATGTCCTGTCCTTGGGCATTCTCAAGGGCCTCTGGCCATCGACGATCGCATCTTTGGTAAGTCACTCAGAAAAAATGGAGAGGGAAAAATCCCGGATGAGGGACAATCAACTAATAAAAACGCAGGCCGACCTGAACATATCTCCCCTGAACCTCCTGGACGACTTTGATTCACTTGACAGCCTGCCCCCGCGCACCCGCCTGGTCCGCAACACGATTGCCACCGTCGTCACCAACAAGTACTCGGCAGCCGCCAGCGTCGGTGCCAGCAAGGTCCAGTACCCAGGCAACCATGCCGCATGGCAAGCGACGGTTGATGCGATCAAGGCTAAGCTGGACGGCAGCGCATCTCTCACACCCCACCGCTTCGCACGCCTCGTCGCTCTTGCCGCCGGCGCCTTTGCACGCCTAGACAAGGATTCCAAGGCGCTCGCTAAGTTATTGGCCTTTGCGCCGGCTCGCTATGCCGAAGAGGCCAGCAATGGAAACGATACAAAGGCGGCACAGCAAATGGCCCGCATCCTGGGTGGCCTGCTCGTGTCCGACCGCACCCTCTCCACCGACGACCACGCCGTCGTCAAGTCCATCTACAAGCAGTGGGTGTACGGCCAAACCGTCAAGGCGCTGCTGCCACTGGCGTTTCCACCACGCAAGGCTGCTGTCGAGACCGATGAGGCAGCCGTAGCCGCCCGTCGTGCCAGCACTGTGCACACCATTGCCATCATGGCACTCGTCCGCGGCATGCCCTTCTCGGTGTACGAGGACGACGTCGCCACGAGTAGCGGCAGCGAATCCCTGGTCCGCGTGCTCGTCGCCGCGGCCACGACGCTCGTGCCGCAGTGGGGCGACGTTGCCGTTGCGTTGCGTGTACTGTCGTCCATTGTGACGGCCAACCGTGCCGATGCCGTTCGCAGCCACCTCAAGACAGTTGTTGACGCATCCATCCGTGTCTTTTCGTCCGCCGGCCCAGCGTCCTCCACGTCGTCATCTGCATCGGCGCCGCCACCAACCCCTGCTTCTCGCAAGGAGGCTCTTTTGCTGGTGACACAGTTGCCGGCGCACTACGAAGAGGGCCTGTTGCTGCCGTACGAGCCTCGGCTGGCGCGGGCCTTGGCGGCTGCCTGTGGTGACCGGGTTCGTGAGATCCGTGAGGTTGCCCAAAAGGCTCGAGAAAGCTGGGCCAAGGTGGCAGTCTAAGCGATGTATGTAGATACTTTTGGGCCTTGTTTTGCCCTTCTTTGTTATCTTTTTTGCATCTAAAAGGAGTTGGGTGTGGTATAGTTTGAATTTTACTTTTATTAGAATATTCTTTTTTTTAAAAAAACAAAAATAATAAAACTAAATACCTGATAGGTTACATCATCTCATGGCATTTAGATAAAAGCAATAAATAACCGCCTAGTAGATATTAAAGAAAATGGAAGATATAAGTCGTGGTTTTTCGTGACTATTGAATTTGGACTGCGCTTTGACGAAGCCTAACAAAAAAATTGGACATATGATCGGGCATAAACATACATGTGAACCCGTCACAGGTTGTTTTTAACAAGAAAAGACATGGCCTGTTACCATCCTAGCAACACCTCCCTCGCTTTCACGTCCTCATGCCGCCTTGGGCGCTGCCTTTCTGCGCTTACCACCCTTCTTGCCAGCTGTCCCTGTGGCCGTGGCAACGCCCGAGTCGCTCTCGCTTGCGTCGGCAGCTGCTCCGGCAGCCAACATTTCCAGCACGGCCGGACTGTAGGCGGGTTGTGACGAAGTTGCTGGTGCTGCTGCTGCCGACGCTTCCGCAGCAGGGGCAACGCTGGCCACACGTTTTGGATCGGCCTGGCCAATTGCTGGCACAGCGGTCGCAAGGACGGTCTGGAAAGGAGCGGCAATAAAGCTGCCGGCGCTGTCGAACCACTCGGAAAAGGGGCGGGAGATGGCGATCTTTTGGGCCGCAGCCTTGGACTTGGACGTGATGGTGATGTCGACATTGTAGACGGGTGTGTACTTTTCGACGGACGTGGCAATGGTAATCTGGAGGCAGCATTAGCACGAGCATGCGCAATCGCAAGCGCAATCACATTTCCCAAGCGAGCAAAGCGTGGCCAAAAAGGACAGAGACGTACGGTTTCGCCGCTGGGCGACGTGCCGACATAGACGGTTGCGCCCTCGACGTAGCGCGACCAATAGGTCAGGGCGACGTTGAGCGCCATGTAGACGAGGACGGCGAGAGCCGAGTAGTACTTGGTGCTGTCGAAGCCGAGCTTGTAGTCCCACAGAAAACAGGCGACAGCAACAGCCAGGGCGCCGTAGCCGAGGGCAAGGCGCACATCGGCCAGGCGGTGCGACTGGACAAAGCGCAGGGAGTTGAGGTAGTTGGGGATGGCATCGTCGGACGTGTTCTTGAGGTCTGCGCAGGATGTTGTTAGCAATGGTTCCTTGGTGGTGGGAAGAGGCTCAAAGCACGTACCCGCCAGATTGTAGACAGAAATCTTTTCTTGCGACATGGCGGCTGTGGGAGTTACGGAAGTGCTGGTGGTTCGTGGTGGTCGAGAATGTCGTCTACCGTTTTGTTACGTCGTGGTTGGCGATCGCGAACACGTCGGCAGCAATTTGGAGAGATGTGGCTACTTTGATGCGTCGCGGAGAGAGCAGACGGCACAGCTCCAATTGACGCGCCCCACTAATTAGGTTGCTGTACGTCGCTGGCGTCTGCCACTTTAGCGTGTCGGCCCCTGCGTGTGGCTCCCACAACGCAAGCCACAGTGGCCAGCCGGTCGCCAAACCCCCCATATGCCAAAGCTCCTTTTTCCTGCCTGTCCTCATGTCTCCAGCGAAACGGGACACATGAATAGCCTCGCCACAAACGTTGCCCGTCCTCCGTCGCCACACCCCAGCGCATCGCCCATCGCTTAGACTCAAGATATTTCCCAATTTCTCGTGGTCCACCATGTCGCAGGTCCCCGTCCAGTCGATCCCGCGGGATCCCCAGCTTCTGTTCGTCATCCCCTCTCCTTTTTGCTCTCCCCTCTTCCTCGACCTTCAGCACTCTCTTCGTGTCGATGCCGGACCACCTGCTAACTCTTTAGGTACTGGATCCTCTTCCCGATCACCATTGTCATGATCCTCACCGGTGTTCTGCGCCACTACGCCAATGTGCTCATGGCCACGGCGCCCAAAAAGGTCGAGCAGCGCGCTCTCCGCGAACAGCGGTCCATGTTGCACGGCGTCAACGTCCGCACCAACCACCACGTGCTGTCGGGCCGCTCCTTCAACACGCGCCGCGACCACCTCGTGGCAGCCTACGAGTCCGGCGCCTACCTCAAGGCGCCCGAGAACCGCGGCCAGGCGCCGCCGAACCCGATGACGGACCCCAACGCCATGGACGGCATGATGGGCATGATGAAGGGCAATATGGCCATGATCATTCCCAACACGCTGATTATGAGCTGGATCAATGCTTTTTTCAGCGGATACGTTATCAGTGCGTTCATTTTTGTGACTTGGTCTTTGGATGTGACTTTTTTTTTTAAAAAAAAAAAAAATACACTGTGACGGTACACCTGCTAACTATATAGTGAAACTCCCCTTCCCCTTGACCATCAAGTTCAAGAGCATGCTTCAGGCTGGTGTCGCCACGCGGGACATGGACGCGCGCTGGATGTCGAGCATCAGCTGGTACTTCTTGTGCATTTTCGGCCTGCAGTCCGTGTTCAACTTCCTCCTCGGAAACGAGAACGGTATGTGTCTTTTGTGTCTCTCCTGTCTTTTGACGTCCCTTTGTCTTCGTGATGCCATCCATGTTCCTGACAATGTACAGCCGCCAGCCAAATGGCGCAGCAGATGGGCCAGATGGGCCCCCAGATGCCCCAGATGGGTGCTCCTGGCCAGGACCCGGACAAGCAGTTCCTGGCCGAGGTCGAGAATCTCGCCGTCGTGGAGCACTACTCGGTGCTGGACAACGTGGAGCAGCGGCTGCTCAACCGCGCCACCAAGGCATAGTAGAACGGACCTCCTGTTGTCTGATGGAGAACAGGGTAGGGAAAGGATGGTCTATGTACATAAGGAATGAGAGGACTGAAAATCAGGGATTCGGGGCAACTGGGGAATAAAATCCGGGGCAGAGACTTGAAGGCCAGAAATATCGCATATAGATCGCACCCGACGAAGCTCTTTCACTTTTTTCCTTCTTTTTCTCTTGGGCATTCTGCGCATCGTCTGGTCCTTGGCTGGTGGTCATGTCTGGTGTGGATGCCAAGCGTCCTGGGTTCCCAGCCGTTATGACTCCGTCGTCCGGTCGGCGGTTTGCGGACATCGTCGTGTTATTCGTTTTTTGTGCCCCGGCTCACTCGTCCCACCAGATGCACACGCCGAGACCGGGGTCTTTCATGCTTCCGCGGATGCGATATGGCGGATTGCGGCGTTCGTCAGGCTCCTCACCACGCTCAATAGGCTTCGTGGGCGTCTGGTCGTGCCACTCCTCGTCAATGACGCGGAACCGTACCATTTCGTGGTTGTCGTAGTACATGCGCGTGTCGTCAATGTTCCACACCCACAGCTGCTGGTTCATGTCGCTGTTGGAAGGTGTGAGCAACAATTCTATACGTCCGTCGATTGGACTGAGGGCCCTCGTTGATACGGAAGAGAAACTTACTATTCTGCCTCGTCCGGCAGCTCGTCATAGGGGACAAGGATGTCGTCGAAGAAGTCGGTGCGCACTAGAGGCAGAGTCAGTTGTTGCTGAATCAAGCTGACCAAAGCCGAACGGATAGATCCGACATACAGTGAATGCCATTAGGACTGCAGCTGCTGATGCGGGCAAACATCACTTCGCCCTTGAACGGGTGAAAAACGACAAGGCGGAATTCGACTGAAGGCACGTTAGAAGAGGACGGAAGGCGGCCGACGAGAGGGGCTTGTACTTACCATTGACGTTAACGAAGCCGTCACCATGACCGATGAGGCCTTCTGAGGTCCATAACAGGTCATAGAGGCAGATGCAAAGGCCAATCTTCTGGATCACCTTGTTGGCATACTTGGCGTTGATGTTGTCCTCGATGGCATGGATACTCCTTTTGGAGAAGTCGTTTGGGTCTATCCGGACCAAGTCGGCAATTTTTGTCTGAAAAAGGCCAGTCAGTACAAGTGCTCCCTGCCTCTTGCGCCTCCCTTCTTCCCGGCTGCATGGGCGTTCCATATTCCAACGTCAATACAAAGCGTAGATCAAGGCGTTTACTCACGAGAATAAACATGTCGCCCGGTGTTCGGAGGAGCTGCAGGTGCCTCTGTCTTGATAAAATATGTATATGTCGATCCGAAATCGTAGAGGCTCCAACTTGTACCAAACTGTCCACTGGGCTCGAGAAAACGGGAAGGTTGTTCAGCAACCGGGTGAGGATATCGTCATTTTTGGAGGGGGACGACAAAAAAAACAGTTACAGTGGAGCTATAGCTGCTAATGCACTATATTTTGGGGTGACATCCTTGCAATTCTGCCGCGTTATGTAATCCGTCGTTGACCGCCTTTGACGCGTTTCTGCCACAAACGGACTTGAGACGACAGAAATCCTGTCGGGAACTTCCCGTCCTTCAATCTCGCGATTTGGGCATCTCGCAACAACACCCGTTTCCTTGTGGATCCTCGACAATCACAATCCCATCTCTCGCCCATCTTCAGTCGACGAACTTCCTTCCCTAGAGTTTATTTCATCCCATAACCAGCCAAAGACTTTTCCTCCCTTCGTGGACATCCGGAATCTTCGTTTTTGCCTCGCTAGTTATTTTTGCCTTTGTTCCCTCCTGACTTTTTCCTGACGGCCGTCGAGGTCATCGAATCGTCCTCTTCTCATCAACAGTCTTTGCTTCTATTCCGTTCGAGTCTTTGGTGTCAGAGCAGTCCTGGTGCCAGTATTCGGGCTCTTTCAGTTGCCACCCCTTTCCAGCACCTGCCACTTCGGTTGTCGAACTCACAACTGCACAGCTGCACACTTATTCCATTGACCCGCCCATTTCGTTGAGTGGTAACCGCGTTGCGCAAGACACACAGTCGACTTCGTTTGTCGTATCCGGCGTCTTCGAGTCACATGTGGCTAGCCGCCTAATTCATGTGATTCAGACTCCGCATCTCAACGTAGTGTTGAACTCCCTCGGCCATTTTTGTGTGTTTTCTCTACTCTCTTTCGTTTGCGTTTTCTTCTGTTCGTTCCTTGCCTCTCCCACTCTGTCCTTCTCCTAGCACATCGACAATGTCATCCTACGGATACGGTCCTCCGCCGCCGCCACCGTCCTCGTCGCAGGCGTCCGGAGGCTACGGACACCAATACCCCTCCACCTACCAGCAAGGCCCATCCCACAGCGGTCCCTCGCCTCGTGGCGGTCGCGGCGGAGGATACTATGGAGGCCGCGGAGGTGGACATGCAGGACAAGGAGGTGGCAGCGAACATCATGCTCAGCCGGGGTATGGTTATGGATCGCAAGGCCCGCAGCAGTACGGCCAGCAGAGCCACTATGGTGCTTCTACTCCACACAGCGCGCCGGCATCCTATGGCGGACCGTCGCAACAGCCTCCATCGCAGCAGCAGCACCAGTGGTCCCACGAACCGTCTGTCCAGCACCATGCACCGCCACCACAAGGATACTACGCACAGCACCCACAGCATGCGCAGCACGCGCCGCAGGGCTACTCTCAGCAGCCCCCACAGGGCCAGTCGCCTGCCCAGCATCAGGGCTCGTATGGGCAGCAGCCTCCGTACGGACCCCCTAGCGGCCCGGCTTCCTCGCAGACACCATACAATCATCACCAGTACCAACAGCCGAGCGCTCCTCCTTCGCAGCAATGGAGCGGGCTTGGCGGACAGAACGGAGGATACAGCGGGCATTATAGCGGCCGAGGCCGTGGAGGAGGTGGTTACCACCATGAGTCTCGGGGCGGCGGATCGAAGGCCCATATGATGGGTCCGCCCATCCGTATTGGTTTCGAGAATGGCGGTTCGCAGCACGGCCCGGGTGCCGGATCGCCGGCTCCAGTGAGCAGCGGGGGTTACCAACCACCGCCATATGCGGCCCCGCAAGGAGGAGCACCGCCGCAACCTCCGTCGGGTCCGTCCGGCTACAATGGTGCCCCGTACCAAAGCTACCCACCAACTGGCCCAGGCGGTCACGGTGGCCCTGTCGGCCCGCCGCAGCACTATGATCCTTACTATAACAACCAGAACAACCGCCACCACCAGCGGGGTGGGTTTCATAACAACTCCCATCGCGGTGGCCGCGGTGGGTTTACTGACAACAAGATGCGGTACAAAAAGCACAACAGTACCAGTCACGCTGGTGCACCACATACCACCCATCCGCACTCCAACAATCATCAGAAGCCTGATGCTGCCTCGGCTGGCAAGAAGAAGAAGCGTAAGACGAACACACTCGGCCTCACGCCGGGTGAAGAGTCAGACGAAGAAGAAGATGATGAAGAGGCCAAGTTGGTTGAATTGATCGGTCCCGATGCTCCAAAGTAGGCCTCCCTCCCCTTGTTTTTGATTTCTTTGATCTGTTTTCTATTTTTGCTTGCGGCTGAAATGCCGCACGTGAAAAAAAGGCATAGTGCTTGTCCTTTCTTGGCCTGCTGTCTGCTATATTACGTCTTTATTACTATTTTCTCACATACACGTTATTAACAAAACAGCCCGGTTGACATTGCCGCATGGATCGCTGAGCGGCGAAGTAACTTCCCTACCAAGGAACGCGTGAAGGCGAAACTTGCAGGAAACGATGCAGGCGACAGCAAACCAGGGGATGGCGCCAAGCCCGAGTCTGCGGCTGTTGCGTCGCATGGTGCCAAAAGTGTGGCGGGCCTGACGGCCTTGGAGCGCCAGCAGCAAAAGGCGGAGAAACTGCGCAAGCAGCTGGAAAAGGTCGAGTCCAGCATCAAGCGAAAGCGCGAGCAGCAGGATGAGGGTGATGAGATGCGCGATGTGGAGGGCAATGGCGATGGCGCCGACTCGGACGCCTCGCTGGACTCCAAGCTTGGATCGGACGATGATGCACCCGAGGCCGTGCCCATCCGCACCGAGACGGCGGCGTCTGTGGCTGCAGCAGCAGCCGCGGCCGCGGCCAAAGGCGTGATCCCACCGGCCGCGAAAAAGGCCGATCCCACAAAGCACTGCAAGTACTACTCGACCGGTGGCACGTGTGGCAAAAAGGGCAAGTGTCGCTTTGTGCACGATCCGGCGGTGCGCGAGGCCGCGCTGCAGGAGCGCGAGCGCAACGGCGGGCGTATGACGCTGCGCCAGCGACTCGTGCTCAACGACAAGGACCAGGAGGATCTGACCATCGTCAAGACCCTGCAGTACCTCAAGGAGAAGGGCATGATGTCTGGCGCCAGCGCCCCTCTTGCACAAACCGCAGAGTCCGGCGGTGGCACACCTGGTCCAGGCCAGTCGGGCGCGTCGTCCAAGACGCAGAGTGTCGCACCGACCAGTCCCGGCAAAAGCACCACCAAGCCAGAGTCGGGCGTCGCGAGCTTGCCGGCTGCCCCGTCTCTGGGCAAGAAACACCAGCAACAGCAGCAGCAGCAGTCCCCGCCGCAGCCGGCACAGTCTGACACCGGCGCTGCTGCGGGATCTGCTTCGTCTGCTCCGACCGTGCGCTATCAAGGCTGGGATCTTAGTGGGTTTGGCAACACTGGCGTGAAGTCGGAGGAGTCTTGAGCGAGCACAGAAATTACGTGTATCCTCCGATTCCTTCGAGGTAGTGGTGCAGTGGCACACTCTTACCTTTTACGCAGTCCCCTGTTCCGTTTATATGTTTCCCTGTATCATGAGCATTGCTTGATCTTGTTGTTTCTATTGTTTTTCATTTGTCTGTTTCGTAATCTGTTGTACTTATAACTTTAATCGGGTGTCAACATTCTCTTTATCCTTTATAGTGCATTCCCAAAAGGAGTTTGTTGACAAACAAGTGTGAGGTCTATACAGGGCCAGAAAATGGGGCCTTCATGTTCCTTTTGATAAGGTTTGTGTTGCTCTGTCCCTTCCTACTTCGTTTGCCTTTATACGATGGATGTAATAATACCAAAGTAATAAGTCTACCTACGCACTGCCTCGGTGGACTCCCCAACGGAATAAAAGTGTCTCGGTATCTATATTCTCTCCATGGCATTATTATTTCTAGGTTGGTTGGCCAAGATGGCTGGCCAGCCGTATCGAGGACAATTTGCCTTTTTCCTCATGACAATTGCAAAAGATGATGGACCTGAATAGAGCTCAAAGTAGCAGCAAGAATATGTAGACAAAGATAAAAAATTGTCATGGGAGACTTACAAAGCTGGATCTAACAAGCCACATCGTCTCATTGAGAGATCGGATAATGGGACGTCGATTTAACCTTAAAGAATGCACGTGGATAAACATGGATGGAACACCAAAAGAAGAAGTGGATAACTGGATAACGCCCGAAAAACCTGGTTGTTGGCTCGGGATGTTGTGTCGATCGTTGTTCAACTTGTTGTCCGGTTCCTCTTTTATTTGTCGAGGACGCTTTGCATCTCCAGAAAAACACGTGCGGTACATCCCAGTTTTTTGACAGGATCACCCCTGACACACCAGCGCGGAATCAAAACAAATAGATAAATACAAATCCAGCCAAGAAACGTCCAATGGAGATTAAAAAAAGCTGGAAATACATTGTACCAGCTCGTATGGCCAAGGCTTGTGTAAGTACAGTATTCTATTGATGGATTTCAATCCCTCCTAAACCGATGGTTGTCTCCGTGCCAAGACGGCAGCGGCCGCATTGCATGTACGACATACTGCGACTGCATTCCATGGGTAAGGGCAAGTCTGCATGATACTTTTCTATCTTTCATTTTCAATTTTTTTCCGGGATTGCTGGTATTTCTTCTGGTATCTCTGCAGCTCGCTTGTCGGCCTGTTTTACGTACTACAAGGGACACGTGCGAGACGAGGACTTTCTGTCCTCATGTACGTTCGACTTGCTATAATGCTTGAATAAAACACATCTTTCACTGCTTCAACGCTCCCCGTGCGCCGTGCTGATTGGAAAGAAAGCACCGAAAATCAAAACACGCGACGCGCATCAAAGTAAATAAACAAATAGGGATAACCTATGCACTATCAAAGCCTTCCGCCTCACGGTACGCCTTCAGCCAGATCCGGTCATGAGAAAAGACAAGACACGGAGCCTCACCATCATTCATCATGCTAATTATCGTCGCCCTCCTTCCCTGCCCTTCCACCGTTCCCTCCATCCTGTCGCTCATAAAACCAAACAAGCCCGCCGTGTCTTCGTCAGCGTCGTCTCCTTGTCGGTGGTAGTATTAATACCGCGTGCAAGCACTGCGGGTTTGGTTGGACCAGCACCCCTTCGAGTACGTGGGCGTAAACGTTGAAAAAAATAGAGCACGAGAGTGCATAAAAGAAGACATCAAGTCGATCAAAGTGTCGAATGATAAAGAAGATGAGGAAATGGTGGGAGAGAGTTAAGTTGGCAAAATACGACAGGGAAACGAGTATATCGTGGCGTCGCCCAGCTACCCAGCCCAGGGGTAGGTGTATCGCGGTATGCCAGAGTCACTCCAATTTCAATTGTTTCCTCATGTTGTGCTGCCACAGTGTGTTTTGATATTTTTAATTTTGGAGTTCTGAATGGGGTTGCAAGGCTGTCCCTTTACAGGAGGTAAGCAAACAGGCCCAGAGCCACAGCGGCGGCACCGTTGCCAAGGTGGCCAACGGCCGTGGGCATGGCGCCGTTCGCGGACTTGGTCGAGCTCGGAGCAGGAGTGTTAGTAGCCGAAGCCGACGCGCCCTTGTCAGTAGCTGTGGCACTGGTCGCCGGGGCAGAGGAGCTTGCAGCAACAGCAGTGTAGTTGTCCGGGTTGAGAGAACCGCACTGGTCCTGAATGCTAGTCGTGCAGTTCTTCTGGCCCTGTGCGTTGCCAACGTTGGCTGCGTTGCACTCAGAATAAGCTTCCTGGCAGATGAACTATACGGGCCGGGGGAAGAGTCAGTCACGCAAAGTCAACGATCGAGTCGCAATACGAGACGGGTAGCCATTGCTACGCCAGGATAGCGCGAGAGAAGACATACGGTAGGCAGAGTCTGCGTGTAGTACTCGAGGCCGGGGGCGGTGCCGTTCTGGCACAGACAGTTGAATGTCAACAAGTTCTGTATCGGAATGTCAGCACGATTGGTAATTCTCGAATGCAAAGCATAGCCGACCGGACTGGGCTGCGCCAGTCCGGGTGCAAGGGGGAGACTGGGCCGCGACGTACGGGGTCACAACTGTTGGCCTTGGGGTTGCCGTCACAAAGCGTCGAGCATGTGTTGCCCTGTGCAGAACACCAGTTCGCTGGTGGATGGCGAAATAACATGTCAGCTATTGTGCGCAGATCAAAAGGCGAGGCAACAAAGTCATCGTCGAGTCACGGCGTAGTGACAATCTCGCCATGGCGAAGGGCGCGCAAAAGCGGCCAGCAGAGAGACGGACGAGTAAGAGGAAACAGAGGGAAAACATACACCGCTGCGTTAGAGGAACAGCCGAGGGATCAATGGTGAAGTTCTTGACGGCATTGACGGCACCGAGTGCAGAGAGCGCGACAAACACGACCGAGTTGCGCATTTTTGCTGTTGTGAAGGGCGAAGGAGACGAAAAGTGGTGAAAAGGCGAAACAGAAAAAAAGAAGAAAAAAGAAGACGTGATACTATTTCGGCTTGTCAAAAGCTTCAATGCCGTAATTGGAATATATTTACAAACGGGGTGGAAGAAGGAAAACAGGAGAGGACGAGAGGGAAAAGAAGGGAAACAAAAGGAAAGAGGGTTTGAGACTGGGGGAGTATGCGATGATTTAATTTGTTTCGGGGGCAATTTGGGAAGGGGCGATAGGCACAGGAACGGGAAGGAACGATGGGCAATGAAGGGGTGGTGAGTGAGGACAGGCACAGGCACACGATGGAAAAGAGGTTAAGGCATTTCAGGCCGAGCTGCCGGGTGGGGAGGGAATGCTTTGTGTGAGCATTACGGGGGCAACCACGACAGCTCGCGATAGTCAGAGTGCAGCAACAAGCCGCCAAGAAAAGGGCAACAGCAACAAGGGAGCTAGCTACTTTCCGTTTCTGTTTTTTTGCAGTGGCACACACATGCGACCCCTTGTGCTACGGAGCGAGACGAGCTAAGATACCGGAGGCAGGTACGGACAGTGCAAGTGGCAGGTATCAGACCTGCGCCGCAAATTGCAGCTTGTTGGGAAGGAACAGGTGGTTTTGCGACACCAAAATCCTCTGGAGATGCGAGAATTGGGGAAGGGGCGACCGCGCAAACATGACTAGACCAGAGTGCATCAACAGAAAAGTGTGGGTGACAGGACTAATCGGCGTTGTAGGATAGCTGCGCCGCTAAGCCAGAAGCGGCCAAGTCCAATGGGACCTCGCCAGACAAAATGAGAAGGAGAAGAAAGCGAGCAGAATCATGAGTGTGAGGGCGAAACGCCAAGAGTAAAAAGGGCAGCGAGATGACCACGCCAAGACCAGGTCTTGCTCGTTGCTCCTCTTTTGCCTCTTTTCTTCCGTGAAATGCCTGAGGTTCTTTACCGGGGCGTCATATCCTGTTGGAAGGGCCAACGCGCCTGCTCTCAAAAGAATGTGTCTCGTGTGTTGCCCACAATATCGTCGCTGATAAACTGATAATATGATACAGCCTGGTTGAGGAAAGAGGCCCTATCGTGGCTTCCCGCAACGCCAAACAACCGCAAACGGGCCAATTGGTCTCACATGAGGAAGGCACGACGAAATTACTAGGATGTGCCTCTGCTTCCTGCAAATCCAGCCTCTTCAATTTTTCCTCTTCCACTTTTGCGCCTCGTTTTCCTTACTTTTTCCTCGCTCCTCTTGCGTTTTTCTCCTCTTTCGTTCGTTCGCTCGTTTGCTTCCGGCACACTTCAAGCCGTGTCTCCAGTTTTAAAACGCAAACTCCACTTGCGTCAGCGTGCAGAAGCGTCCGCGACGTTCCTTCCCTTTAGTCCATTCCCCCTCGCCTCCACAAGCTGATACCTTGTTGTTGGGAAAGGCGCCAGCCACACATCAACGAAGTAACACGAGTCACGCACCAGTCACAATGCGCAGTTGCACCATTACCTTGCAAGGTACTACACGTCTATGTTGTATCTTTTCCCGGTTCGGAACCACAAGCACGGCATACCGTAGGTAAGGAAAGTGCAGTTGTCGAATGTACGAACGTGCGCTCCACGATCTCGCCGCCCGTTTTCCCCTCACGGTCCTTTATATGCCGTAGGTGTAGCTCTCAAACTTGCTTATCGTCATTACACATATATATTCTCGTATTGGCCCTTGTTTAGCTCCGAAATGGTACCCCTTTCGCCACCTGCACAGGCACGGCGGTTCTTTGGTTTGTACGATTGTCACGTCTCATGCGCTGTGCGAGTATTTCTTTTGCTTTGGCGGTGAAATGAGCAAGGATTGTCGCGTAAACAGTCAGAGAAGGTCGCAAATGTTGCAGGGTCACCGACAAGTGCATTATTCATCCAAGTAAGACATTGGCTGTTCGCAGCCTTCCGACGCCAACTGGACGTGCCTTGCTAATTTGTATCTTACCTTCTTATCTCCACAATGACATTTTGAATCCTTTACATTGTCGCTACTACTTTCTTTCGACCTAGTGCTAGCCGAGACGAACAGCTCGGGAGTACTCTGAACTTGGGTTCTTTAAATCCATCGTGAGGTCATCACTGGAGTCCGAAAGCCAGGGTCAATCATTACTTTTTCCCGGTGGGGCCGTCGCTTGATCCGCACATCTTCTGTTCTGAGTATGTTTCTGCTCGGACCGGTCGTCGAGTTTTATCTGTCTATCCCGCCGTCTCCCTCGTCGTGTCTTTCGTTGCCCAGTTTTGTCATATTGATCTTCATGTCATATGAACAGCGACAACGCCCCATAAAAGGTGCAGGTCCAATCTGATTTGACGGGGCGTCGCTCTCACGCTCAGCCTTGCCAACGTGCAAAGTTGTAGTACTCGATATTCTGATTCCAAGCGGCAAAACGATGCCCTCAGCATAGCGCGGCCTCAGCTATAAAAAAAAGTGTGAGTAATGTATGTCGTATGAAATAGTCTAATCTGTGCGAGCATGAGGCAATATGGACGTTGAAAACAGCCTATACAAAAATGAACATAAAACAATGGCATCCTGCCTGTCTCTCTGCATTGTATGAGGAAAGTAGACACTGGCCAGAAGCACATGCAAATATACTCTTAACCGGCATATATCCCCGATTCCTCCTCCAAGAACATCAACGATATCGAGACACCAACGGAGAGCAAGCGAGCGTCAAAACCAGGGCAGTGAATAAATGACAGAGGGTGAATGCAACGAAGAGACCGGACTACGAGAGACGACGCCCAGCAGAGTGAGTGGGCTTCATTCCCTCCTCACCCGCCTTTCTCCATCAGAGCACGTGCACCGTATTATATATGGTTGTTGGGGGGGCGGGTGGTAGAAAACACAAAACACAAGTTCTCGAATGCGTTTAGGCGTCAATGAGGTTCTCCTCCTCTGGCGCCGGCTTGTTGTCCGCTTTTGCCTTGCCCTTGCGCTCCGCCGTTCTCTGGTAGTACTCGTTGATAACCTTGGCCGGGATACGGTTCAGCATGTCCTTGCGGTAGATCCGCAGCAGGCTCCACGCCAGATCCAGCGATTCATAGATTGTGCGCGACTCGTACTGGCCCTGGCTGATGAACTGGCGCTCAAACTTGTCCAGGAACTCGAGCGACAACTTATCCTCGGCCGACAACGCCTCCTCACCGACGACAGCCTTCATGGCCGCCGCGTCACGACCAATGGCGTACTTGGCGTACAGCTGGTTCGACACGTCACCGTGGTCCTTGCGCGTCATGCCCTCGCCAATGGCCGACTTCATCAGACGCGAAAGCGACGGCAGCACGTTGATGGGCGGGTAGATGCCACGGTTGTACAGCGCACGGTCGACAAAGATCTGGCCCTCGGTAATGTATCCCGTCAGATCAGGGATGGGATGAGTGATATCGTCGTTGGGCATGGTCAGAATGGGGATCTGCGTAATGGAACCGTTGCGGCCCTCGACACGGCCGGCACGTTCGTAGATGGTGGACAAATCCGTGTACATGTAACCAGGGTAACCACGACGACCGGGCACCTCCTCGCGGGCAGCAGACACCTCACGCAGGGCATCGCAGTAGGACGTCAGATCGGTCAGAATAACGAGGACGTGCTTCTCGAGCTGGTAGGCGTAGTATTCGGCGGTCGTCAGGGCCAGGCGGGGCGTGATGATACGTTCGATCCTAATTTGTTAGCTTCCTGTATGACGCAAAATAAAACAAAAGGGCATGGAACGCACGTAGGATCGTTGGCAAGGTTCAGGAAGAGCGTGACACGCTCCAAACTGCCGTTCTCCTCGAAATCGCGGGTGAAGAAGCGAGCCGTCTCCAAGTTGACACCCATGGCGGCGAAGACAATGGAGAAGTTCTCCTCGTGTCCGTCGTGCACGCCCTTGTTGGTGACACCTTCGCGCTGCACCAGGCCGGCTTGGCGACAAATCTGGGCAGCAATCTCGTTGTGTGGTAAACCGGAGGCAGAGAAGATGGGGATCTTCTGGCCACGAGCAATCGAGTTCATGGTGTCGATGGCCGAGATACCGGTCGAGATCATCTCCTCGGGGTAGACGCGCGAGTAGGGGTTGATGGGACTACCGTTGATGTCAAGGTACTCTTCGGCTAGCACCTTGGGGCCCTTGTCGATGGCACGGCCGGAACCGTCAAAGATACGGCCCAGCATGTCTTCGGAGACGCCGAGCTTGAAGCTCTCGCCGGTGAACTCGACCTTGGTCTGTCGAGAGAAACTACGTTAGGGGTGGACATGTGCCATTGAGAAAGACAAACTGGGCAGCAGTCTTAATGCCGTCTGATGCCAACGTACCTTCTTCACATCTACACCAGTAGTACCCTCAAACACCTGCAGTCATTAGCATGCACCCTGGATATTGCAAGATCGAACTCGCTGAGGTCTATCGATGCCATCGTCGTACCTGGACAACAGCGCGGCTGCCTAGGATGGGGGAAACGACCCGTTAGCACATATGTCCAGCCTCCCAGAAAGACATCGTCACAGCGTAGATAAGCAACGTACCTCTGGCCTCAAGGACCTGGCCAGCGCGGACGGAGCCATCGGGCAGCGTCAGATTCACAATCTCGTTGTAGCGGGGGTTTTTGACCTAAGCGATCACAGGTCAGCCAAATGTCCATGTCGAAGCAGCGGTCGAAATGAGGCATGAACAAGAGGAAGAACAAAGACGGACATTGTCGAGAATAACCAAAGGGCCATTGGCACCGCCAACGGTGTTGTAGGTGATGTGCGGGTTGATGTTGAACGACGAGGAAACGCGAGGGTCCATGATGCAGGCAGTCGTGGGTGTCGGTTGGCGGGAGGCCAAACGACGGAATGACGAACGGAGAGGAAAAGAAGAGGCTGAGAGCTGGTGACGGATGTCGCTGAGAGGCCGAGAGGGAAGGAGAGACGGGAGGGGGTCAAGCGGCGTTGGCAGCGGGTCCGACGAAAATAAGCAAGAGGTGACTGAGGAAGGAGCGAGGCAACAGCTATCGTTAGCAGTCGGCAGTCAGTGCAGAGTGTGGTTGATGCCAGCCGATAGGAATGGCTGAGTAGATGGGGTGCGGGACTTTTCGAGTGAAGGTGTGGCTTGTGAGGGGCCAAGGCAAGAAACGTCCCAAGCTCCTTGCTGGTTCGGGTTAACCCAGAATTGCACCACAGCAGCTTAGCAGCTAATTACGGACTGATCGCCTGCGTACCACTGGGCTCTCGGTTGGACGATATCACGTGCACGTGATTGGCTGTGCCACTTTGACAAGTTTAGGCCCGTTGTAACCGCACCCAGTGGCTAAAAGTGAAGTTTGTACGAAATGGTGCCTGGAATAGCTATTGAAATACGTTCTGGGCGGACGTCGAAAGTCACGACATCCTCTCCACCTTCGCAGCGCCCGACACTTTGACAACCATGTCGACGTTTTACGACACCGAGCCGCAACCGACGGCGTCGCTCGTCCTGCACACGACCAGCGGCGAGATCGCCATCGAGCTGTTTGCCAAGCAGACGCCCTTGACGAGCCGCAACTTCTTGCAGCACTGTCTCGACGGCTACTACGACAACACCATCTTCCACCGCCTCGTGCCCGGCTTCATTGTCCAGGGCGGCGACCCGACCGGCACCGGCAATGGCGGCGAGTCGATTTTTGACGGTGGCGCGCTGTCGGGCGACCTGGACGTGTGGCCCATGGACGAGCGCCGCGGCGCCAACGCAGGACCGCACGGCATCGGCTTCAAGGATGAGTTCCATACGCGGCTCAAGTTCAACCGGCGCGGACTACTGGGTATGGCCAACGAAGGCAAGCCGGACACCAACGGCAGCCAGTTCTTCTTCACATTGGACAAGACGGACGAGCTCAACGGCAAGAACACAGTGTTTGGCCGCGTGGCAGGGCCAACAATTTACAACCTCACAAAGATCGGCCAAGGCGATGTGCAGGAGGGCAGTGAGCGGCCGCTGTACCCAACACGGATTACGCGGACAGAGATCCTGACCAACCCGTTCTCGGACATGCGCAAGACGGAGCGGGGCGCACGACACAGCGCAGTAAGCGCGCCACGAGGAACAGACGAGAAGAAAAGGACAAAGCGCAAGAAGGGTGTCAACAAGAACCTCTTGAGCTTCGGGGACGATGTCGAGGATGATCTGGAAGGCGCTTTGGCGGCGTCGTCACGAGGGAAGAGCAAAAAGGCGAAGGTCGACAAGGACGACGAGGACGAGGCCGAGGACAAGGCCGCAAAGCCGGAACGCACAGAAAGCACACACCACCACAAGACAGCATTACCTTCACGAACGCTCTCTGGAAAATCATCTCCAGAGCGCTTAGCGACGTCTTCAAAGAGAGGCAAGGACAAGCATGTGTCCGACTCCGAATCCGACCCGGACTCTGCACCGCGGCGGAAACAACCAGAGATGACGGCGCTGGAGAAGACGAATGCCGAAATTGCTGCTCTCAAGGCCTCGATGCGGCGAACCGTTGCCGTGGAGCCAGAAAACATAAAGGAGGATAAGAAATCGGCCCTAGACAGTCTAATCCCATCAGATGCAAGGCGTGGCAAGAAGTTTGACCGCAAAAATGGATTATCGAGCCATGACAAGAAGACGCTGCGCTCCCTGGACGAATTCACCTCCAAGTTGGGACAGGACGCAAACGGCAAGGCCGCATTGCCTCCTCCAGAACCATCGGCGACAGCAGGACCAGACGTGGGCGAGGACGAGGGTGACGGCACGGTGTGTGACCTGCACTTTATTGCCAACTGCCAGAGCTGTCGGCCCTGGGATAAGAACGGCGAGGACGGCCAGGTTAGTGATAGCGACGGCGAGGACTGGATGTCCCACACACTCAACTGCGCGGCCGACAAGCTGGGCAAGGACCTGAGCTACCGCAAGAAGGCCGAGGAGGAGCTGATTGTGATCGACCCGCGCGAGAAGGCGCACGCGCTCAAAGAGGAGAGGAGCAGCTCGCGGCGGGACAGCGGTCGTGCCGGGGGCCGTCGGGACCAGGCACGACATGCGAAATTCGCACAGGCAGCAACAATATCTGGACGAGGGGCCAGGTGATGTGATCTCGTGTCATGGGATGAAGCAGGCTACAAGATAGTGTACATAAACAATACCCATTTGCTTGTTAAAATTACATTCTAGAAGGTGCTCGAAGTTTCCAACCCGCCACGTGTCTGCCTACAGGATTGCGCAGAGTCGTAAGGCTGTCGAGACAATGACACGTAATGTGCGTAAAGGGCGTAAAAGGCACCGGGTTCGGTCGAATGTCAAGACGCTGTGAACGAGGGATTTACAGTGGAGTGTTGGATCCATACAGCACGTCTCCGAGCCACGGCAGGACCCGAACACTGACGGCTTGCAATCTCCTGCCCGGGTCTTAAACCGGTCCCGATTTTTTTTCCCCCTAGGAGCATAGTGACCATGTTGGCCGAGCGTAACTTCCCATGTTGCCGTCTTGCTCGCCTGCCACCGCAGCGGAAGGATCGATCAGGTAATTAGTCAAAGTTGGCAACATGCATAATGTGTTAGGCAGAAAGGGCGGACGACGACATCAACGCGAAATTGCACGAGGAAAGAGCTGCCCAGCAGAAAATACGGAGCATAAATTTTCCACTGTGCAGACTTGTCACTGCGCGTTCTGATTGGCCGGTGACACTGAATAAGAGCATGTTGTTCTTTGACCGCTAAAGTTGCAGGTAACCGAACAGCCCGCCGTATCGGGCGGAGCAACAGTGGATGGCCTGGCGCAACTCCGCAGTGGGAAGCAAGGCCGTCAGCGTGCCGCCCTGCCCGCTTTTCTGTCTTAGCACGCCAATTGCATGCGCCAGCGACATAGAGCCTCACGCTCTAGCGGGCTACAGAAAAACGAAAGAGAGACAAAAAAAATCAAAGAGGAAAACAGCAAACAGCCACGATACAACAACACGACATACGACGACCCGCCATCCCCCCTCCCTTCCGACCTGTACGTGCAATATATTTACGTCCTCGTGCGGCCGCCTCGGATTCGCTGCGCCCAACAGAAACGGCCAGCGATTGCGCCCGAAAGGCCCTCGATCGCGATCAAACGGACTGCGACAGACGACCAGAATCTAGACGATCATTGTCTCCCACGAACACTGTGACGGCCGATCCTTGCGTGGAACGGCACAAGTGATCCCAATCCCTCATAGTATATTGTTTCGAGTGCATATCTGCGACCGCGCGGACCGACGACCGCGCCTCCGGACGAACGACGGCCCCTTGACAGCTTGGTTATCTCACCGGGTTGCATTCGGCGACTGTTTCCTTTCAATTTATTTTGTGACGCTGTTACGGTGAACACGCTTCCCGTCCGACGACCTCATAACGACACATTGCGACCTGTTCGTCGCTTGACGTGTATCCTTCGACTTCAGCAGCCAGAGGCGGTCAGCCCTCGAAGTTTACGACTTCCGCGCCTTGCACGGCTTGCACGGCTTGCACGTCTTGGACACTCCTCCACTTCTGTTACGACAGCTCCCCATAGCCAGCAGCCATGTCCCCGAATCCTCGTAAGCGCGCCGCGCCCGGCGATCCGCCCGTCTTCCCCGTTGCCGGCAACGGGCAGCCTAGCTTCAACCCGGCGATGCAGCAAGACCAGCTGCTCCAATGGTCTGGCGGGCTGCCGGATGGTTTCCCCAATCTCGCTCAAAATGCAAACTCATATATGATGGGCAATCAGGGCCAGTTCTTCCAGCAACAGCTTCGCCAACAGCAGCAGCAGCAACAACAACAACAGCAGCAGCAGCAGCAACCGCAACAGCTGCCGCTGCAGGCTGCCCAGCCACAGCAACTTCATATCCAGCCTCAGCCCGCCGTGCAGCAAGTAGGCCAGGTTCAACCGCAGCCGACATCCACAGCCATTGCTCGCCGGCCACCCAATCGCGCCCTGGTTCCATCTGTGGCCCGGCCGGCGTTTGATCCGAACACGGACTGGTCTGCCTTTGGCGATGACGCGGGCGCGCTGACTACCAGCCTCAACCACAGTGTGGGTGGCCATCTCGCTGCCGGTAACAGCAGCAGCAACAACAACAATGGCAATGGAGGCACGGGCTTACCCGGCGAGAACGAGAGCATCGAAGTCTTGGAAGAGCGCGCGCAGCGTATCAAGAAGGACTCGCAAGCGAAGCGGAAGCAAATCCCGCCGTTTGTGCAGAAGCTGAGCAGTTTTCTCGAAGAGGCCAAGAATACGGAGCTGATCCGCTGGTCCGAAAATGGCGACTCGTTCATCGTACTAGACGAGGACGAATTTGCAAAGACACTCATCCCCGAACTCTTCAAACACAACAATTATGCGTCGTTCGTCCGCCAGCTTAACATGTACGGCTTCCACAAGCGAGTCGGCCTGTCAGACAATTCCATGAAGGCGAGCGAGCGGAAGAACAAGAGCCCCAGCGAGTACTACAACCCGTACTTCCGGCGCGGCCACCCGAATCTACTGTGGCTTATCAACAAGCCGAAAAGCGGGAGCAAGGCGAAGCGCGGCAAGAAAGACGACGGTGACGGTGACAGTGACGAGGAAGTGGCCATTGACGAACCGTCGCAGATGGCGCACCATGCCAGCATTCAAGGAATGGGCAACCAGCAAGGACGCGGCTACGGGGCGCCCGGCGCTGGGCTCGGTGCCGGCGGTAGCAACCTCTTGGGGCCCAGTGGTGGCGGAGCAACTGGTGCGAGTGGTGCCGTTGCTCTGGACGCCAACGGTCACGCCAGCGGCGAGTTGGCGCCGCTCCAGAAGAAGGACTTCCAAATTATCAAGGACGAGCTCAACACGCTGCAGACGCGGCAGGCCCAGATTTCGAAAGTGATGCAGAGGCTGCAGTACGACAATGCGCAACTTCAACAACAGGCCCGCCTCTTCCAGAACATGCACGAGCGCCACGAAAACTCGATCAACGCCATTCTCAACTTCTTGGCCAACGTCTTCCGCAAGTCTCTCGAGGAACAAGGCGGTGTCCAGGGCGTTACGGAGCTGCTGGCAAGCATCTTGCCGAATGGCCAGATGCCCACCGGCAGTGTCGTGGATCTCACCGACGATTTTGACCGACGGCGACCGACGCCTCAGGCAACCAATCTGAGCACGACCCCGATGAAGCGACAGCAGAGGCTGTTGCCCCCGATCCCGGCGCCCAGCGCCTCCTCGACCACCGCATCCACACCGCAAGCGTCCGGTAACAGCGGCGGCGCGGGTACCCGCGGGAGCAGCGCACGGTCGTCGTCCGTCCTTTCACCCGGGCAGCAACATGTGGGCGCGGGCTACGGTCATACAGGCGTAGGCCAAGCCGGACACCAGCCGGCCATGGGTTCGGTTACAGAACTTTTTGACTCGCCGAGCGAAAACACCTATTTGCAGCACGAGCTGCAAGCCAACCCGCAGGAAGGCATGATGCGGATCATCAACGACACCAACGCAAACACGCCGGCGTCCGGTTCTGCGATTGACCTGCTCGAAGCGGCGGCCGGCACGCCGGCCAACATGAGCACAGATCAACGGGACCGGGTGATTGGCCTCATGTCGGGGCAGGGCAACAACAATGGCAATATGGGCCAGCAACAGCCTCAGCAGCCCAATGTCGCGAACCTGGCCCGGAAGAGTCCTATGACCGGCCCTGGCGGCGTGCCCCTGTCCCCCCAGGTCCCGATGACGATCCCGGCGACCAATGCTGGCAGCGCTCCCAACAACGTGCCGGGTATGCTGCCAGCAGCGGATGGCGCCAGCACATCGCTGTCGCCAATTCTCGGCAATGTGCAGACCGTGCCGCCGCCGTCGCTGCAAGACATCTCGAACACGCAGTCCGAGATCGAGGCGCTCCAACGGCTGCAGGACGAACAAAATGCCAAGATCAGCGACCTGACGCAGATGCTGGGTCCCCTGAGCCCGTCGGGGCGTGTTCCGGGCATTGACGAAGACGCCATCTCCGTTGGCGGCACGAACCCGGGCATGCAGAGCCCGGGATACTTTGATCTCGGCCAGTACCTTGACTCAAACGCCTTTGGTGACGACTTCAACTTCGCGACGGACGATCTCGTGGGTGGCGGCAATGCGGGCGCCGGCACGGCAGGCACTGCGGCACCAGTGTCTGGTGGTGCTGGCGGCATTGCCCCTCTTGCGGACGACTTCAGCTTCACCATCAACCCCAGCAACACTGCCGACAACGGACACGGCGCTGATGGCGACGATGACGGCGACCACGGCCTCTTTGGCAAATCCCCTAGTCCGGCTTTGACAGAAGAGATCCAGCGAACCGATCTCAGCAGAGGAAGCAGCCCGGATCCGGCCGTGAAGCGCCGGCGTGTGAGCTAGATGGTAGATGGATCGCCCTTTGCTTTCTCTTCGCTCGTCCTGCGCAGCTGAAATGCCTTTTTTGCCAGGTTTCACCTTTCCTAGCTTTCATTTCTTCTGCTGGGTTCTTGGTTTATGTCCTTTTCTTGCGTGGGATCTCCTCGTATGCTGCATTTCATGACATTTTTGGGGGGGTGGAACATGTTTCTTTTCATTCCACGGGCTGGACGGGACAAGAAGGGGCTTTTACTGCAGGGAACTCTTTCGCCTCGGCTGGATGGCTTCTCGGTTTTTGAGACCCTCGCACTGCTAAGGGGAAAGTCTAAACATATGACGGCCAAAGTCATGTCGCGGTCGGTTGGGTTTCTTTTTCATTTCTGTTTTTTGTGATTCTCATGTGAGGACCAAAAGGTTCCATTAACGATTTTTTATCCATTTAATCTCATCATTTCATTGCCGTTCACTGCTATATCGCGTCGTCCTGCATCTATTATATGTGAATGTCTTGACACATGCGGCTGTGATTTTGTCATCTTTGCTGTCCTGGAGTAAAATCGCTCAGCGTCAAAAACCAAATCTTCTTTTCCTCTCGGAAAACCTACGCAACTTGACCAGATAATAAGTCACTGAAACATTGTATGTTAGCTGGAGAAAAAATGAATAGGTGGATGTTCGTTTGTTCCTGCCTGATAAAACGTAAGATAGTTACGTCCGCAGCTTCCGCAGCTAACACGCTTTCTCCATTGCAATGACGAACACTAAGCCACCCCGTCCAAAGGACCCCAACGGCAAGGGCGTCCCTGGCGAGGCGCCCCATAATCCCATTAATGTGCCTGCCTTGGCTGGGCGCGCCCCCTTTCTTTTTCCAATGGGAGCCGTTACAACCCTCGCCAGTCTCACATTTTTGCCCCTCCTCTCCTTCCCCGCCTACATGCGCGCTGCAGAAGGGGCCGCCATAGAAGCTCTCCTTCGTTCTTTCCTACGTTGCTGTGTCTCGTGTTTATGTCCTTCCTAGCGCTCAGCCCTGAAACGACAGCCTTCTCTCCGTCCAATTCAGCCCTTCTCATCTTGGCCCAACCAATCTCGACATCTCTTCAACGAAACACAGGTGCCTTGGACGCGCACACTCCGCGACATACCGAAATAGGGGCCATCCACAACTCACGTACCTTGTCGGATACCACGCCAAGCTCGAACCCAACTCTTTCCTACCTTTTCCCCATACACGCCTAGCATCTTCTTCACAGAAAACAAAAATGGCCGACGAAGAGCACGAAGTACGCATTTGACCTCGACTCTCTACGCCTCCTCCCCCTCTCCACAGCCTTTCGCTAACACACACACAGGGCGCCACCGTCCAGGAGCAGCTTATTGAGGCTTGCCGCCGCAACAACCCCGACCTGCTCGCCGAGGTGCTCAAGGGCCGCTCCGAGACCGAGGCCGCACGCTTGCTCAACGAGACCGTCACCGTCCTCGGCAACCACCTCTACCACGAGGCCGCCTCGCAAGGAAACTGTACGTTGTGGTCCGCATGCGTCCGCTTCGCTCGCTCTCACCCTGCTAATTGTGTAAGACGAAATCATCGATGCCCTCCTCGACCAGCCCGGCTTCGAGTGCGACCCCATCTCCCGCCGCGACGGCGACACCCCGCTCCATACCGCCATCCGCTGGTCCAACGCCGAGCCCGCCGCCCAGCAACCCTTTGCCCAGGCTCTCGTCGGCATGATGCTCGAGGCCGGCTCCAACCCGCGCATCAAGAACAAGGCCGGCCTCACCGCCACACAGCTCGTCGACCCGCGCTACCCGCAGATGCGCCAGTTGATCCAGACGCAAGAGTACATGCTGCTCAACGCCAGCGATTTTGTCGACGACAGTTCCGACAACAACAACAGCAGCAGCAAGCCCTCGTCTGCACCGCCGCCGCCACCACCACCACCGGGCCGCCCAAGCGGTGCCGCACCAGCCATACCGTCGTCGGCGGCACCACCGGTCCCGCCGCCGGCCGCCACCGCATACGATGACGACGCCGAGTTTAGTGGCAGTGACGATGAGGAACGAGCAGAGTGGGAGCGGCAACGGCGGCAACGGCGGGCGTAGGTGTTGGGCTGCGTGAGCGGGATGTAGGGCGCAAAAGGCCCTTGGTTACATAGAGAAGCAGAAGCGCGGCTACGAGCATGCATGTAGATCGATTTTAATTCATTGTGATCTTTTATAAGTCTGCAACTTGCGTGTACGACCAAGAATAGCTACATACAATAGAAAAGCACACGTGTATGAAAGACGTCTGTTTCCTTGGACGGTCAAGTCAAGAGAACGGGCATTCAAAGAAACAAAAGAAACAGAAAATAGAAAACAGAACATTATCGCGAACGCCTGTGCGGTATGAAGATATTGAAAGAAAGGACGGGGGGAACCGTTAAAAACAGACAGAGAGGGACAGAGAACCACCATGGAGCACAAAGAGATATCAAGAGACACAGAAGACACACAATAGTCGGTTATAAGTGAAAATAGCCATTAACTTATTCTAGTCTTCTTTTGTCCAAAAAACCGACGGCCGCGGCACGAGTTTCTTTCCTTTCGCCTGGTTTCGTAGATTAGTCGTGCAGATCATGAATGCTTGAGCACATTCAAAATAGGAGGATGGTTGGGGAGTGTATGTAAGCTGCGATGTATGCAAAGGAAAGTGATGTAGTCGAGAGACACAATGATAGACCAAAGGCGGACGACAGTGAGAGAGAAAAACAGTAATATCACAGAAACGGTATACAAAAGCGATGACGCGAGAAGCAGGCGAAAAAACAGAATGAAGAAAATAAGCAAATGACAAATTGAGACATGAAAAAGGGGGTATGCAAAATGCAGCTATGAAAGATGGGGAAGGACAAAGCAGAAAGAGACAATAATGTGAGTGACAGGAGACTAGACAACAGTAAACTAAAGTGAAAAACATCAAGAGACTACCAAAAGTGCTCCCTTTTTAAGGCCCCAGCAATGGATCTATTCATACAACGCCATGAAAAACAATAGACAAAAAAAGACAAGATTGATTAAGAAAAGTCAGACGTGGGAATAAAAGCGTGAAACTCCGAGAATACAACGCCGGTCGTCGACGACGGCACAACACAGGAAAGCAATGGTGCTTCTACGTGGCCTTGTTCTTATTAGAAATCATCGAGAGGCCGCGAAGGCGTCCGTGGATAAACCGGCTGGCAGCGCTGTCATGGCCATGTTGGCCAGAAGCCTCGTCGAGGTTGCGACCAGCTGAGTGGGAGGACTCCAGCCGTGACAAGCGCGCGGCCGTCGTGAAGTCGTTGCTGGCTTCGTAGCTAGCCCGGACGCGGTCCATTGACGCACGCATACGGTCGTACGACGGCCGGGCCCGGTCAATCGATGGGCGGCCCCGGCCCGACGCCGTGGCAGTGTAGTCAGTGGAGGACACCGCCATACCTATGTTCATTTCGTCAACAGAGTACTGGCGATCGTGGTCACCACCACTATAGTTGGTGCCGTCACTACCGTTTTGCGTACGCGTATTGTGTGTGGCAACGGACGGCGGGTAGATGGGCCGCCGGTCTTCGTCGACACTGGCAAACTGCATGTGCTGCGAGTTGTGCTTCTTGGCCTTGCGGGAGCCTTCCGAGGAGGACCCGCCCGCCGAGTTGGTGCCGTCCACCAGCTTCTCGACGTCAGGGCCGGCCTCTCTCTTGATGAGCTGGCCGTCCCTGTCATAGTCTTTAAACTTGCCCTGCTGGGCCTGCTCCCGGATGATGTCGACATCGTACGGGAAGTACACCTTCTGCAGCGCCTTGATTCCGTAGCGGGGGAAGATGCACAAAACGGGCACGATAAAGTACACCGCCCAGAAGCTCGCCTCGCCGTAGACGGCCGCCCCAGTGCCGTAAAAGTACTGAGAGTACGTCGTCGACGTGTAGACACCAGTCCAGAAGAAGACGAACAGGAAACTGAGAGCGACAACGAGCACCATCAACCAATCCCACCGGTAGGTGTTGATGAGCATGTACAGGTTGATTGTCAGGACTGTCGGATGCACGATGTAGGCGCCCAGGCGAAGACGATCAGCCACATCCAAACCGTTGAAGGAGGCAAAGGGCGTCCGGACCATGGTCAGGTAGGGAATGAAGAAACACATGACAGATTGATAGAGACCATCAGCCATGTACAGCCTAAAAAGTGACAAGAAACACATGGTTAGCAAGCAAAAAGGGAGACAGGGGGTCCTACCAGGAGAAAAGGAAGTCGGGGTAGGGAGGATCAAGCGAGCCAGAAAAATGGGATAGACGGAAGACAACAAAGATGTACATACCAGAATTTCTGCTGCGTCCACTCTAGGCGCTCAATACCACGGCGATACAGCTGCGGGACGGCGAGCGACACCGTGTCGGGGACATCCTGGTCCAGAACGCCCATGAGAATGACAGGCACCGAGGTGAAGAACAAGTTGAACATCAGAATGTATGTGTAGTCGAAAATGTAGGTCATGTCGTAGTTGCAGAAAATCTGGAACCAGAAAATCGAAAACACCCAAATGATGTTCTTGTAGAAGAAGTTGGCGATACTCTCAGCCATGCGGCGGTATGACCAACGGCCGTGCACGAGGACAAGCCGCTTCAAGAAGCGGAACTGGCCAATCGCGTAATCCGAGGACATGGCAGCTTGCCGACCCTCCAGACCAGCGATACCGACACCAACATCGGCCTCCTGGATCATGGCCACATCGTTGGCACCGTCACCAATCGACAGAGTCATGACGTCCAGGCCGTTCTTGACCAGGGCGCACACGGCGGCCTTCTGCGCAGGGCTCACACGACAGCACAGAACGGACTTGCACTGCTTGCACAGCAGCAGGAACTTCTGGCTCAGCTCGTCGCTCAAGGCCCAGCGCAGCGTGAAGCCGTCAATAACGACCGCGTGCGTAGGGGCTGGCGGCTCGTGGTTGGCACGCGCAGCTGTCAGGTCTTCGTCGCTGCCTGTCAGGCCAAAGGCCGCAAGACCCTTGTCCAGCTGGGCCTCGATGCGCTCCATATAGTCGTCATCGGTGGTGTTGCCAGACTCGTCCTCATCCACTCTGAGATGCAACAGTTCCATATCGTTGTTCAGCAGGTTGCATGAGAAACCGATGTTGATGGCCGTCTCGACCTTGTCGCCAGTCAAAACCCACAGCTTGATACCAGCCTCGGCCAACAGAGCAATAGTGTCGGGAACGCCATCCTGCAGACGATCTTCAATGGCGGTACCGCCAAGCAGGGTGAGATCTTGCTCGATCAGCTCAGCCGCGGCCTCCATCTTCTCCTCACGATTGTCCACCGCAGTAGCGGCAGCGTCGTGGATCTTGCGCCACGAGTAGTACTCGTCTTCGGTCAGGACACGCTGCGCAATACAGAGCGTACGCAGACCCTCACGGGCAAACATCTCCAAGTGCTCGGCCGTCGCCTTGCGCAGCTCGACTTGCTCGCCGCGCTTGAGCCGAGAGTAGATGATGCTGTCGGCACCTTTGCAGATGAGCACGATCTTGTTGTCGGGCATGCGCACAATGGCGCTCATGCGCTTCCGAGTGGAGTTGAACTCGATCGTGGTGAGGACGGGGTAGTGCCGCTCCTCGCCCATAACGTTCAGGCGGATACCGACGTCCGTGTTGCCAAGGACAGTGAAGCCCATGTCACGGGCGGTGGCGACGAGGGCAGCCTCATCGGGGGACTGGGCCTTGAAAATAAGGCGGGGCGGGTCGCCCGGAATCTTCTCAGATAAGACGGTGTGGCAGAGAGCAAGGCTGAGCATGAACTGCTCATTGGCGTGCTGTTGCTCGGCCCCGTGGACACCAGAAAGATCATCGACAAAGTCAGGGGCAATGAACGTGATTTCGTCGTCGTGGAGGTACGGGTTGTCGTTGAGCTTGCGGAGACCGGCGAGCGCCTTATCTTTGGCAACGGCGATCTCGGCATTGGCCCGCTCGGCCTCTTTGACGACGTCGATACCCATGCGCTTCTGCATACCAGCCTGGGCTTCGGTGTAAGCTTCACCGTAGGGCTGGCCGTTAATCGTCGCCTTCTTGAACTCCATGACGTTCTGGGTCAGAGTACCAGTCTTGTCAGAGAAAATGTACTCGATCTGGCCAACATCATCGGAAATGTTCCACGATTTGGGAATGCAGGGCTGGTCGGCCTTTTCGTAGTACATCTCGACATCGCTGTAGATAAAGATGGCTTGCAAGGTGCGGATAATCTCAACCGTGATATAAAGAGAAATGGGCACCAAGTTCTGGAACAGAATAAAAGCGGCCCAAAACGTGACGAAGCCGGCCAGCGGAGGCGTACCACCGTACGGACCCATGTCGACATAGGCAAGCGATGCGTCGGTCTTAGCCCACGAAACACCGTTGATAAGAGCGGCAATCAGACACATAATGAACAGGACACCGAAGTTGCAGATGACGTTGAAGTTGAGTTCACGAGCAATACGGGCACGCTTGCTAGGAGTGTCACCGGCGTTCATCATGATCTTCGTGTCATGACCAGTGAAGAGAACAATGCCCAGCGCCCACTCGGTGTTGCGGAGGTTGCAGCCGCGGAGCAGGAGGTTGTCGATGGAGATAGGCTCAGACATCTCATGCACAGCGCCAGAGGGGTCCTCCTCAAAGGACTGGTTCCAATGGATGGCGCCGTTGTACTTGTACAAGTTCGACTGGGGCGGTTCGCTCTTGACGTAGAACTGGGCCCGCTCACAGTCGCGCGCGTGCTTGAGGCTGCGGCCACAGCGAAGAGACTGGCGAAACTTGAGGTTTGTCTCGCCGTCCAGGTTCTTGGTCTCGATGTAGCAGCCACCATCCGGGTCGGAAGTCGCCAGCACGACAACGTCGGCAGGTAGTTCGTCGTCGTTATAGATACGAACAAAGTCGCCAACCTGCAGATCCTTCCAGGCGCCGCGATGGAAGCGGGCTTTGCCTTCAGGGACAATATTGTGGTTCAGGAGATCAGGCTTAGCATTGACGACGTTGAACTCGCCATCGGCGGCGGGGTTGAAAGAAAAAGCCGACGTAGGGCGCGTCTTGTCCTGGGCGACAGAGAGCATGTCCTGCATCTGAGGCGGCGCATTGCGGGGCGAAGGCGAGGGAACCGGCGTCATCTGAATGTTCTCGCGTGCAGACACAAACGAGTCGCGCTGACTGTAAGGCGAGAGCATCGATTCGCGGCGCGTATGACGTGTCTCGATAGACACGCGCGGATCGTAGCCATTGGGGTCGACCCCGGCGGCCTTCTGCTTGTCCTTGCTCTCCTTCTTCCAAAGGCGCTCGATAAGGTGCCAGAGTCTCGAGAAGAAGCGCGAGGTGGCCTTCTTGAGCTTGCGCCAGGCCGACACATTGTCCTGGATAACATTGACATTGTTCCAGTCCAGTAGGCGGTACACGGGGGAGTTGTTCAGAGTCTTATCCGAGCGCGTACGGCGCACGTCCTCAATGGCATCACGGATGGCCGTAATAACAATAATGGCGATAAGTGGGACAGAGTTTAAACCGGGGTTCTCGACACCGAAAATCGAGAAAAACTAGGTGAGAAAATGGTCAGCAAAGAGAACAACGCGGCAAGGGCGGGACGACGGAGAGCCAACCAAACAGGGAAACAGCTCCAAGCGAGGGAAATAAACATACAGCAAGAATGACAACAAACAAGAAAAAGATGTTGGCAATGTTGTGGAACTGAAAGTACAAGTTCTTCGGGATGAACGACAGCGGTGTGTACTTGGCAGTCCGAATCTTGTTTCGCGAGTACGTCTGCTTGGGCGCGCCGTTCTCGTCCTTCTGGTCGGGCGGTAACGGAAGGTTGAAGTAGAGCGTGCGTGGGCCAGGGCCATCGTGCTCTTCCTCCTCCTCGTCGGCAGGCGGGGCATTCGGGTCGGCATTATTGGGTTCGCCGCCTTGGCGGAACGACTCGGAACCGGCTGATGCGCGTTTCTTCTCATTGGCGAGGGTCTTGCCGTGACGGCCAATGAGAGACAAACGCTTCTTGTTACTACTCTTGACAGTCATCTTACGAGTGGCCCAGCGAGAGCGTTTTGTCTTGTGCGTCGACGTCGAGCCGCCCTGACGTTTTGGGGCAGGCGGTGAGTTGGGGTGCGGGAGATTTTCCGCAATGGTGATGCCGTTGCTGTGCCTGCTGGGACCGGCTGCTCCGGAATCGTGAGCAGCCTCGATGTCGTTGTCGCCATAGGATGGCTGGGCGGGCACGTCCGCCGGGTTGTCTGTTGCGTTCATCATATTGGGTGGCAGATGGAACGGGGACGGGAGGGGGGCGGGCGGGAAAAGAGATTACTAGGGATGCGGGTCGAAGAGGTGATGCCACTCGGGCATATCCTAGAGACGCAGGCCTATCGTCTCTTCACGTCGAGGGGGTTCCTGCTATGGGGACTCGGGTGGACGAAGTTCGTCAAGCCAAAAAGGCTGGTTGGCCGCGTCCCGTTTCGGGGGGAGGACCTCGTCTATCCCAACGCCGACAAGCGGGTGGAATTGATGCCGCGCACCGCCGGGATTAGAGCATGAACACAATCCGAGACGTTCGAATCGCACAACGCCGGGAATGGGTGTCGACTCGATAAAAACGACGTTGGCGATAGGGGCGCGGGAAGAGTTGCCCACAAAGACTTCAACTGCGGCGTCGAGAGCGTGCAACGTGTCGACTCTCTGCTCGAATCGGCGAGAAAGGGGGTCGAGAAAATTCGATAAAAAAAGAATGAAATGAAACGAGAGGAATTCGTCGTCTGCGTCTGTCGTCGTCTGAAAGAAAATGCAAAATCGAAAAGTAACGGATCCAAAATGACAAGGACGCGGTCGGGAGGCGAATATCGTGGTCGGCCGTGTCGGGGGACGAAGGCCCTTGCGTTCTGAAAGTTTGACTGTGGTCAAGAACTGGACAACCAACAGAAAATGTTCAGGCCCTGAGTGTTTTGGGAGCGGCGGGAGAAGAGAACGGCCACGAAATGGACCGCCAAGGCTAAGCACGAGAAGCGGAGCCTGAAGAAAAAAAAGGAATGGGGGGATCCAGTACGAGCGCCGCTAGGAATAGCCACCGGCGAGAAAGGGAGAGCCAGACACAGGCGGCTGAGTTCTGTATACGTTGAAGTCCGTTCGCCACAGAAACAAGGGGATAAGGGGCATACAAAGAAAAGGAACAAAAAGAACAACGACGGCAAAAGAGGAGCCTAGAAAAACGGGGAAGGAGACGACGAGGAAAGGATAAAAATTAGCACAGGCTATAATACGAAGCGACGGCGACGAACCGCTGGAAGTAACAAGAGCGACGGACGAAACAACAGTGAGAACGCGAGTGAGATTGAGTAGCAAGAGCGACCGAGGCGAGAGACCAGGCGGGAATTTGCTGGGTCTGGTTTCGAGACTAATTTGCTAATATCGGATGGCCCGGGCGGCAGAAGAGGCAGGAGCAAGCGGTGTCACTTACTACAGAGTCTTAGTAGGTGTTGTTTGGGAGAAGGAACAGACGGGCGCCGCCCAAAAAAGGCATAAAACAAACCGAAGACGCGAAGGGGGGTTGCCTTTTTGGCTGGCGGCACAAGCTAAGGAAAAGGAATCACCGGCCACTGAACAGTACCCCGAGGTACCCCGGGTGAGCCGTTGCAGGCGAAAATACTAACGGACTTAAGCAGAGAGACCCAGGAGTACATGGGTTTGGTAAGCAGCTGCAAACTCAGCCTCGCTGACGGAGAAAGGAGCTATCAGCTTTTGATTTGGAAGTCGCGATTGGCGGCCAGAACGAATGCGATGCGTTGGCCACTCCGAACGGAGCGAAGGTGCGTACGGTCAGTTTCGCCATCCAAACGTCTGTCAAGATTCTGGTGCCCGAGAAACGGGGAAGAGCAAGGCAGACACGATGCAAGATGCAAAGGTGAGAGCACGGTAGGCACACCCACCGGACAACAAACAGGGCTGTTCGGGTTGCGCGGCCACGACGATCAGAGACTGTACAGCCCCTGGCATTGGCAATGTAGTGACGTTTGGTGGTCCAGGAACAGGAGCGATGATGCTCGGCGTCCTGTCAGCGGCCTGCCTGTTACGACGCCTGGTAAGATGGTTGACATAGCGCACAGCCTGACCGGCCAAATCAGCGCCAGGAGAACAAAAGATGCCCGCTAAAACGAGTCCGCCGAAACGGGCTGCTTAGCGACAGTGGATTCGTCAGTGGGACAGGCCCTTGTGGCTTGTTCCTGGCCATCACCTCGCATCGGCGCTAGTCCACTTTCTCGTATATGAACCTGGCCTCGCGGAAAGAATACGATTTTATGAACGAATTGCACACTGCAGTGTGTTTGGCAGACGTCTTACGGAGTATTAAGTTACCCCGTGTTGTTACTCGCTTGTCTCCTCACTAAATATGAAATCCAGCAGGGAAAGGACCAGAAGCCAACATGTGACGACAAGGTGTAATTAGTAGGTTTTCTAAGGTCTCCATTACACCTTATTTGGCTGGAAAACACATTTGAAGTATCCTACGTATGTAATTCAGCGCAGTTTACAGAGCAGCCGTCAGCCTTCAGAGGCCGATTTCCAACGCAAGAAGCGGCCACTGTATTCCACATTGCCATCTCATGCTAGGAATGCAGATCGCGTCTTCTGCGCGTAAAGCAGATGGCTGCGAGGAGAGCTCTAGCAATGTAGACTCGTGCAAATCAAGTAAGGACGCGGGAAGGCAGCCCAAACTGTAGAAAGTAAAACCAAGACTGAGTGGGAGGAAAGGGAACGCGACATGCCAGCACCGGAATTCCAAGATGCGCCGCAGCTTGCGCATCTCTCCGTGAATCCATTCTCGGGCACTAATTACAAAAGACATAGGCCCAAGGACCCTGATACTGTCCCAAAAAAACCACCTTAACCCGTAAGGGGCCGTTTTGCCCAGGGGTCCGGCCAAGCCTGCCGAGAACTTGGACACCTGGGCTAGGAAGCGCAAGCTTCATCTTCCGAAGAAGACATCCAATTCAAGACAGGAAAAGGGGGAGGATGCGTCGAGGGCACTCCGTACGACGCAGTTGGTGCGCGCGAGAGGACGTGCACGCGGCGCGTCTGGGCTGCATCGTTGCAACAGAACGAGCGACCCGTTTCAGGGGGTAAGGCAGCAACAAAAGGGGGCGCCTCTGACGCTCTTACGGTCTTACCCCGTTTTGATTTGGCATCGTGCTCTTTCTGTTTTCGGTCAGTTGGCAATACCTGCCGTTTTACGTCGTAATTGCTTTCCAGGCTTGCCGCGTTCTTTCCTCCGGTCCTTCCTTTTGCGCGTCTTGCCTCTTGCCCTTCTCGACCACATCCCACGAGCCCGCACCCTGCCGCTCAGTCGAAACCACGGGGTTAAGAACACCGGGCGCACGGAGACCGCACCAATCCACAACCGGTGGGACTGGACTGTCAAAGAACCCGCAAGCCGTAATTGCGGCCAAGCAACACTCTATTGCCAATATTCTTCCTTTTGGCTTCAACTCGACTAGCGGACCCTGGAGCCGCGGGATGGCATTTAAAACTTCTGTGTGCATTACACATTTAAAATGCCTGCTTAACAACCAGACCGCCCAAGAATGCAGCACTTCAATAACAAAAGCCTCCGAGCATCTTCTCAAGCAGTGCAACAACAAGGGGACGAGACTCCACCCGACGACCAACGGCCTTCGAGTGCCCCGGAACAGCCCGAGAGCCCGTGCTTGCCCCGCCCAGCGACTACTTAAAATTACTATTTTGTAAACGCATATGACTAGACTAGACAGCGAACTGAGAGCCAACAAGTGCACTTGCAATAAGCATCCGCATCCTATGCTCCAGACGACAAGTTGCCTCATTGTGCAACGGCAATGTTGGCGGTCAAACACACTACTCGTGTGCATCCGGGGAAGGAAACGCACTCATGTCTCTTACGGAACGGATGGAACACCAGAGGATCGAAGACGTCAAGGAAACGCAAAAAGCTTGGCAAGGAACATGTTTCCGCAACACAACCTCAAAGCGATTCGGCACAGCAAATTGTCTGCTACCAATGTCGGTCTCTGCCTCTAGACCTGCTCGAAAGTCTGTAAGATGATGCTTGGCACGAGGCCGCAGCTGGCTTTGACCAGGCTGTGACCATGGCAAAAATAATTCGGTAAGGACGAAAGATGCCCAGTTGACGCCAGCAGACACGTAATACAAAGTTGCACAAGGCATCCTGCGCCCAGAGCCCTGCACCTCCACTCCCGGTCTTACTTTGAATCTTGCATGGCACATTTTGAACATAAATGCATCCAGTAAGACGGCGAAATCACAGCGTGATGCATCCTTCCGCGCCTAGTGGCTCTTTGGGCTGACTATGCTCCCCATCGTACCAGCCTATTGGCTTCTCTCATTCTTCCAATTTTCCTTGCTTATGCGTTGCATTCAAAACTCTCTTTCTACAGAGATGAGGCATCTACGATGTACCTTTATGATGGTGCAAACTAAGTCTTAATGCCGTATTTATCCCCTCTTTTGTCCCATGTCCCCGGGCTTGGTCTGCAGGCTCGCGATGGACTTCTGCTACAGGCACTATACCTCGACCTACACCTCCAATATTCCCATACGACGATCATGTTGTCGAAACTCGGTTCAGGCGCCTCATATTAAAACACACAAGGAAATCTCACATATGCAAGCACAAGCACAATAAGATGCTCATTATCATAACATAGTCGATAATGCCAGAAGTGCTAGATTGGGAAGCAATAAGAGAAAGTCTAGCCTGAGGCCCAGGGCCCAGAACACCGTTCCTCGTGCACATGTGGCGGTTAAGAAGATCATATGGAACAGAGAATATCAGACTTCTTTCAAACATTTGCTACATTACATAATAGGTTACGGTATGCATCTAGGAGCACGTCGTTGCAGCGTTGACGTAGCGCACAACATGACGCCAGGTGAAGCACCAGTCTTGGCCCGTTTCGACAACTCTGAAGCACTATTTATATTGCTCTAGTAAAATGTACAATTGTACGCGTTCAATTTTGCGTCCATGTAGTTCCTTCCACAGACACAATAGACTATCCGGTCCCAATTGTTCGGTTGGCTAGAACAACCGTTCTATACCACCTTGTTGGCCTGTGTCCCTTTTGCCTATCGATCGTCCTGACTCGAAACAGGCGCACCCTTCTTGACCAAGCGGCTTCTGGACAGTACTGTCTGCCGAGCAGTTATCATTCGTGTTTACTGAGGATGGGGTGACATGTCTATTTGCTTTTTCTGTGATCAGGGCCAGAAGTTTTGCTCATTTACTTTTTACTTTTATTTTAGTTCCAGTGGGATTGTATGACTTTGTTTCTTTTTTATTATATGTATTCATTTTAAATTCTCATAAAATGCATGTACTTGAAATCCAAGGCCAAAATGCACAGCTCGAAAAAGTAACGACAAGAACAAAAATGAAAAGAAAAGAAAAGCAAAAATGGCAATGCCTTCTATTTGACCACATGGACTCAGACTCGCCAAACAGCGACGCAAGACCACCGATGCGAGGCTAACCTTTTCATCCAAAGTTGTCGACAACAAAGCTTATTACGCACGTGGACACACGTTTCCTTGACGAGACTCACAAGACGCTTCATCTAGATCCACACGTTAAGTACTATGTCGACTAAATACAAACCACCAAAAATAGAGCAGCTGCATGGGCAACACAAGTATAACATAAGTTTGTGATAACCTCGATGCTGCTTGAGGTTGGTACGAGGCTGTAAACGCTTAAAGAATGCGCTCACAGCGGTCCACCCCGCCTGCGTCAATTGGTCAACGCGCCAAAGTGACGCGCCAAAATAAAGAGGGCCCCGCCAAAACCAGAACGGCAAGCGCATCCCACGACGCGGCTGAAGACTGTGGTCCTCTTGCTGAACCACTTCTCCTTCCTCGCCACATCGTCGCCTTCTTCTAACAAACGCACAAGCATATCTTCTCCTCTCCCGGGCTCCATAGCTCACTCTCTACCCATACGCCTTGCCTTACTGGCGAACATGGACACCATCTCGACTCACATTGTGATCTAGTCTGGTCGCATCTCGTTGGATTTTTGCTCGAGCTCGCGAGCAGCTATCACTGTTAGCATCTAGCAGGAAACGACTTTGATATAAGAACACAAGAGCCGAATCCTCCGGATACCACCCCGTCCGTTTCACCATGGCCGGAAACGGTTCCATCCTCAGCTACTGGTCCGCGGCGCCACAGCGCAAAGATGCAAATGCATCGGGACCCTCCGGCGGAACACCAACACGGCGAAGCACCGACACCGCACAGCCTTCCGAACCGAAAGCCATCTCCCCCTTCTCTCCTCCCCCCAAAGCCGGCGCTACGGCCACCTTTCACATTTCGCCGATGCCATTACACATAGCCCCGCCGCGGGGTTCCTCGACACTTTCCCGCGGATCCAAGACCTCGCCCGAGTCCCTGCCGAGCTCCCCCGACTCCTTTCCACCGTCTCCAATACAATCACACATACTGGCAAAATCCAGGAAGGAGAACATGCTAGGATCGTCTCAAAAGCCACCTGCCAGTCTGGCCACGCACGAGATTCGAGATTCAGATGACGATTTGGACAGCGCCAGCGACGGTAGCGGCAACAGCGCCGAGTCATTACAAGACGCCGTCCGCTTCAACGAGCCGTTCCGAGGTTTGTCCACATCGGTGTCCTCAACGTCGCTACCGGCGGTGCGGACGGGGACGGGACGGGCCACGGCAACTGTGGCTGGGGCGCGAACGACATCAGCGGCGTCCCGGGCGGCGTCCTCGTCGTCACCCAACGACAGTTCGTCAGCGCCGTCCATGACAAAACGCCGAGCCGCTACAGCTATCCTCACCTCCCCGCTGCCCTCACGGCGCACCAAGCAGGCCCGCGTCTTGCCGGCCAGAGCGAACCCGCCCAAGCACAAATTCGACATGATGGCGTTGGTTCGCCATGCCCAGCAAGAAGACGCCACCGATGCTGCCACGCGCCGTGTCGAGGACCTCCTGGCCGAGACCGAAAGGCGGGCCAAACAGGAGAGAGAACTTGGGGAGAATCGTCGCACGGTCTCTGGTGACGGCAAACTGCCGAGAGCGCCACTTCTTGACGGTCTGTTCGACAGCGCAGCCGGAAGCGCCAGCGGCACACCCGGCGGCAGCGTCAGTGGGGACGGTGGCGGCGATAATGGCGCCTTTGGTTCCTTCAACAGAGATCGGCTCCGCAAAGCCCTCGATCGTACCGAGGTGGCGGCCGTGTCGGAGTCGTGGTATTTTTTCAAGGAGTATTTTGTACCGTCGCCTGCCAAGCGACGGCCCTTCCCGCAAAAGGTAGCGTCCCCAGGGAGCCGTTGGGCGTTCTTGCGGGATGCAACGATGCGACAAGATTTTTTTATGATGGGCGTGGTCCGGAAAGCGGTCTTGAGCGCAAACAATGGTGCTAGTGGTGGGGGGGACCTGTCTGCATCGCAGCAAACCGCGAGGGAGCCTCACCTTCCCGACGAACTGTTTCTATGGATTCTCAACGAAGCTTGTGTGGACCCACTACCTGCCCTCCGCGCCGAGTATGCAGCCGTTTTGCGCTGCTGTCCCGAGCAGGTACGTCGTTTTGTCGATGCTGAACGCCTGCTGCTCCTGTTCCAGAAGCTTGGACCGCGATGGGAAAGTATCGATTTGTCTACGCGGCTTGAGCTGGTACCCACCATCCACCGGCCTTACCCGGGACGTGACTGGTCCCCGCTACGTTCCCTCCTAAGCCTGGTGGCTGCGCTCGCCGACTGCTTGACCTTAGAGACTGTGTCTTGTGCTGTTAAGATCCTGCTTCGGCTGGGCATTGACCGTGTTGTGGAAGAGACCCCAGACCTTCTACAGGACTACCAGGAAGCCATGCGCAGGCTTGTTGGCCGTGTGCCATTGGCGGACTGGAACGACTTTGTATGCATGTCCTCCTCGTCGTCGTCTTCATCCCTTGCCCATTTGTTAACGTTAGTGTATAGTGCCACGATACGGGATCATCCTTGTACAACAGCGTCCAGAAGCCGTCCTTGCGCTGGCAAGTCTTGGCCTGCATGCCTCTGGACACGCCGGCCTGCCACGATATGCGGCGACGGTTGGCGTCTGTGCTGTTCTTTAACGACCCGGAACGAGCCCGACAGGACCCACGCCGCCAGATTCAGTTGACCCAGGGCTTGGCCAAGTTGGCCGTTCGGGACGACCTCGTTTTGACGCCTGCCACCAACTTTGTCGACCTGACAGCCCTCGTGGACATGCTCAGCGTGTTTTTAGATGACGTGGGCCGAGAGGCGCTGTTACAGCAAGCCGCTGTGTTAAGCAGTTCGGCGAAGCCCAAGGACGAGGTCGCTGCTGCTGCCGTCCGCGCCTTTGACGCCGACATTGACAGCCTCGTCCGGCGGCTGAAGGTGATTGGCCACGGCATCGAGTCCACAGGCGGCGGCCACATTGCACAACTCGACAGCAAGACCGCCTTTGAGCGGCTGCAGATCCGATTGACACACTCTGTGCGAACACGGCCACGCGGAAGAAAGAGCATCTTTGACGGACCTGGCTCTGCAAAAGCGATCGGTGGAGGTGCCGACGCGGATGACGATGCGAGAGGCATCCAGCAGAAGCAACAGGACATCCGCAACTTCTTTATGCAAAGGTTGGGCAAGAAAATGGCCAAGTCATGACATGATGTTGGGGATCTTATTTACGGGCGTTCCTGGCAAGCGTGTTTTTTTTCTTTTTTTCTTTCCCTTTTGGGTGTTTTTTATTCTTAAATGGGAAGCAAATGATACTTGGCCTTTTCTGGTGCTTATTTTATGAGGATGATGCCCTGGCACTGGCGTCGGTACGTAGCCACGAGTAGCAAATAAAATCTGGAAGTGTAACGTGTTTGTATTGAGCGCCGCTGCAAATTAAGCAGACAATGCAAAAAGTACAGACTCAATCTCGTTCCAATACTCAGGAAGGCAGGAGAACCGACTCCCGTGTCTTCCTCTCGGGGTGTCTAAGCCGCCAGATAATAGAAGTATATGCGAAGTACAGAATAAAGAGACAACAAGCCAAAATGTAATATGCAACAAAACCCAAGAAAACGATGAAAATGTCATCTCGCTCCCACTCTCACATGCCTCTAGTCGTAGAACTTGCGGTTGACGTTCTTGCCAAACAACGTCTCCCGCACCACCGGCAGCGCATTGTGCTCGACCAGAGCCAGCCGCGCCTCGAGCGTGTTGTCAATCGTAATCTTGCCGTTGCCGCCCACAATGATCACACCGCCCGCACTGCTCGCCGGCAGCTCGTTCTCCGTGTCCAGCACAAGCTCGACCGCATCGCCCGTCTCCTTCTTGTACTCCTTGGCTGCCGCTGCCAGAGCATCCTTGGCGGCCGCCGCGTCGGCTTTGCGTGCGCGGATCTGCAGCTTGGGCTCCTGCATCGCGTAGGCGCCCTCCAGCACCAGCTTCGTGAGCATCTCCTTGTACTTGGCGGGCGACGACGAGGCCTCCGAGGCCAGCTTCTTGCGCGCAGCTTCAAAGAGATCGTCGAGCAGCTCCTGGCGGGCCGTTAGGACCTGCAGCCGGGTCTTGTTGGCGACGGTGGACCGGGTGATCTGCTGGGACATGGTGGCCTGCTTGAACTTCTTCTCGTACGTGGCGTCGATGGCGTCAGTCTCCTGGCGGACAAGCTTGGACTTTTCAATGGCAAACTCTTCGTTGGCCTTGGTCTCGATCTCGTGGGCCTTCTCCGTCGCCTCCTGCCTGATGAACGCCGTCATCTTGCGGAGCTCTTGACCAACCTATGAACGAAGGGGAACTATGTGTTAGATCAATGAGGGCCAACGGGCAACGGCCAGCCGGACTGCAATGGCGATAGAGGAGAGGAATGCATACCTGGTCATCGGATAGGGCGTGAATCTGCGACATCTCGAAGGCTGTGGTTCCGGCAGAAGCTCGCGGATCACGGTGCGGGTTTTTCAGAGGGCGATTGTGTCGTCGGAAGAATCGTGATACGGAGCTCTCTACAGACGCTTTTAACGTGGGTGCGATAGCTCAGGTGTGATGGGCAGGTGTAGATCAATAGCTGGAGAGCAGCGGCACTCAATCGGGGTCGGGGGAGGAGGTGATCGTGGTGATGGCGGTTGTATGTTGGCTCGGCTTTGTCCAGTAGTCGTTATCAAATGGCGCTGTGCTGGATGGTGAATCTCCCCGCTAAAAGGTGACCCGCCCAGCAACACCATACAGCTCTGGCTCTTTGAAAAGGCTGCCTACACTATTCCGTTTAGTTACAGGGGAGCTGGCAAGCTATGACCAAACCGTCCAGCACCAAGGCCTCAGAAAACGATATCACGTGATAATCACAGCCACTCCAACGCCACAGCGACCCGCACACTTTAGTGTCTGTTTCCCTCTGACTGAGAAACGGTGCCTGCCTGTTTCGGGTGGGTCTTTGCCCACGTAAATCTCACTGACTACGAAGTACGGCTATTGCTCTTAGTTCGTGTTCCGAGGCCTGGCCAGGTGCGTGCACCCATACGGCCAGGCCACCTCAAGCTCCGCTTTGTTTCGTCTGCGCTACTGTGTCGTCTCAGTTTCGCACCTGCTCGTGTCTGCTATTTGTCTGTCCACCAAAGTGATTGGGAATATAATCGTTGGCTCAAGTCCCTTTACACAAGTCGAGCAGCACCTTCCTTCTTTAGGTCCTTCTTGTTTGACATTATTGAGTTTGCATGACTCTCCGTTCTCAGTCGCCCTTTCCGTTTCCAGCCACTAGCATCAGCCTCGCACTGTCGCACCTGCTTGTTCGTGCCGCCCACTATCGCTATCCGTTCCTGCCATTCCGAGCCCCTGTAGCTACCTCAGTATTTGGATCACATTCCAGTCGATCTTTCCTCGTCGGCACAGACTCGCTTTGCTTACTCGTCATCTTTGTCTCTCTCTTTCTCTCTCTACTCTGCCAACTTTTCTCGCCTCTCGCCAACGTCTCCAACGCACCGCCAAACTCAACACCGCGATCCGCCAACGACAATAGTGACGACCACGAGGCCGGCTAACGTCACCGCCTCCACCATTCTCAACAAGTCCTATACAGGAACAGTGGCATTCGGTCTCATCGCCCTAAAACCTGCCCTATTGCAACCACCAGCAACGACCACAAGCTGCACCGACATTGAGGCCACAGCAGACCCGCCTGCGATCACCACCCTTCCTCTCTTGCTGGTCTCACGGTGCTCGACACCGTGAGCAATTCTCTCGGACGAAGAAAGAGCACCCCTGCGGCTGTTGCAGCTGACCCAGCGACCCGGACGGGAGAGGCCGCACACGGCCAAGTCTGCCCTGTCGCCCACTTTCTCGTTGGCATTGCTTCAACTCGGCAGCGGTTAAAAGCAGGCACTTGACAACAAAAACAATCCGCAGCCAGCCCGACCCCAGATATCCCCAGCCGCTTTCATGGAATAGAGAGTTTCGTCAACAAAAGCACGCCGGTTCTCTTTGTTGCGCACCTTCGCCTCTCTCTTCTCTTCTGCGACCGCCTTCACGATCCTCTCGTGATCCTCCCCTTCCTTCCTCCTCTCCAGTGCAGACAAACTTTCTATGCCCGCCTGGCGATAACATTTCGGACGTGCGCGCGGCCTCCTTGCGCCGGATGCTTGCTGCGCACTGGACGCTGGCGCAATGGGCTCTCTCGGCCGGCTCTCCCCTGGCGGGAGCATAGCGGTAAGCATGAAGCTCGGTGGCGTAGGACTATCTCTCGTGCTCGCATGTGTAGTTTCATTGTACATTACTGACCCAGTCTCTTTCTCGCTCGCTTACAGCTAGGAATCGTGGTCGGTGTCATGTCCACGAGCGTCCAGAGCCTCGGTCTTACCCTCCAACGAAAATCCCACATACTCGAAGATGAAAAAGACCCTCACATTGCCCGCCGACCACCACACCGCCGACGACGATGGCAGCTCGGCATGGCCATGTTTATTGTGGCCAACCTGCTCGGAAGCTCAATCCAGATCTCCACCCTCCCGCTTCCCGTTCTCTCCACCCTCCAGGCCTCTGGCCTCGTCTTCAACTCCATCTGCGCCACCCTCATCCTTGGCGAACCCTTCACACGCTGGTCACTCTACGGCACACTGCTCGTGTGTTCCGGTGCCGTTCTCATCGCCATCTTTGGTGCTATCCCCGCTCCTGCGCACGATCTGGACGAGCTGCTCGAGCTGCTTGTTCGACCAGCCTTTGTTGCGTGGATGTCGCTGCAGACCGTCGTCGTCCTGTCGATAGCTGTCTCGGTCGAGGTCGCCAGCGCCCTGCTCTTTACGACGCTTGCACAAACGTCGCGCTTTCGGTTGGCAAGAGGCCTTGCTTACGGCTGCATCAGCGGCATCCTGTCAGCGCACTCGCTTCTTGTGGCCAAGTCCGCTGTCGAGCTGGTCGTTCGCACCATCACGGACGGCAATAACCAATTCCGCCACTGGCAAGCGTGGGCACTGGTGATCGCATTGATCACGCTGGCGCTCACGCAGCTGTACTACCTGCATCGCGGCCTCAAGCTGGTCTCGACGTCTGTGTTATACCCGCTTGTGTTTTGCATTTACAACATTATTGCGATCCTAGACGGACTGATCTATTTCCGGCAAACGGACATGATTGGACCGCTTCGGGCGTGTCTGATTTCGCTCGGCACCGTCGTCCTTCTGTCAGGTGTCCTTGCCCTGTCTTGGCGCCTCAGCGACGAACAGCACCCTCCTGCTGTGGGCCAGTCCACCCTCGCACCTGGGCTTGGCCTCGTCGAGGACACCGAGGGCGAGGAGGATGAAGAAACCCTTCTTCTTGGCCGCGACTTAGTGACTGCCGACGACGATGACGTGGAGAGAAATACAGACGGCAATGGTGTCGGCGAGAGACGCAGCTTGCTAAGAAAGTCCAAGTTTGTTTCATCTTATCAGACTTTTGGGTTCGGCACCCTTGAAAACGACGACTCGCCCACAAGACCAGAGGTTGAGTCGCCCGCGACACATCCCACGTCTCCTAAGCTCGGTCGTAGGCAGACAGCAGCCGGCATCTTTGGCGGCACGGCCGGAGGCACAACACCAGGCCTCCACACACCATCTCGCTGGACCGAGCGGGCCGAGATCTGGGACGAACTGGAGGACCAGAACGACCGCCGACCCAGCTCGGGCGGGTCGGGTATGAAGCGCCATCGCAGCAGTACCCTGCCAGTTCTTATCAGCGAACAGCCACCGCACACTCCCACCAATACATCACATTCGCCACTTTCTCCGTTCTCGGCCGCTCGTAGAGGGGTGAGCAGCGGCTCGCCATCGTTTTTGCGAAGCACCAATTCAGGGTCTGCCGCGGCCGGTCATGGGCGGGAGGTCACGGACGAAGACGCTGATGGAGAAGCGCTCGCCGCGTACCGTAGGTCTTTCCGGCGGCGAAGGAAGACGATGGGTTTCCCTGGTTTCCATGCACGACGCGGCAGCCGCCGAAGCCTTAGCGGTAGTTTCAGTGTGGGCGCTGCAGGTGGCAACAGTAGCAATGCGAACACGCCCGGTACCGGTGAGACGCGCAGCGCCCGCGGTGTACAGAACGCACTTGGTGGTCTGTGGCGGATGGGCTGGTGGAACAGCGAAAGTGGCGGCGGTGCTGGTGACGCGGCCCGGTTGGACAGACCCCCGACACAAGAGACTGTGTCGTCG